CTTGGTGGTGTTAGTTATGTATGATTTTGACATTATTATAAGGATGGATTGACTTCTTAAACAATGAGCCAATGTGGATTATCATGGGAAGGAAATTCAGTTTAACCCACCGGACCAACCTAGTTTTGAATTCTCTGGGAATGCAGTAAATCTATCTGTAATGCTTATTTCCGTACTCGAAGTGCATTAACTTTTGAATGATGATTGGTAATGACATCCAGCGGTAATAAGTGACCAGAAAAGAAGTTAAAGGTACAATTGCAGAAATTGCTTGATAGAGGATTTATTGGACCAAGTGATACCCCTTGGAGTGCGCCAGTGTTGCTTGTGAAGAAGAAGGATGGACTGTTATGTGTATGCTTTGACTATAGGCACTTGTAGATTATTCGATAAGTTATGATTTTTAGAATCTAAGAGATAATTTTTGGAGATATGAGGATGTTAGTATTGGTTGATTTGCATTGTGGCAATGATGGATTTTAGAGGTGTTAAGTTTGAATTTTAAGCTCATATGGTGTGTGATGTGGGTGTTTAGATGTTATTCGCCAAGAAAGTCTTAGAATGAAATAGAGGTGTTTTAATCATTGGTGGAATTAGATGGATTGGTTAAGACATGATATGTATAAAGTAAGTTATGATTTTAGAAACTAAGTTATGATCGATTGAGTTAGGTTGCGATCTCCTATTGGAAAAGGAGAATCTATATTAAAAATATTGATGTATTGCTGGAAGATACTTAGTTTGATAAATTCTGATCTTGGGAGTTATAGGCTTAAATTGTAACGTGTGGTGAAATTTCACTTGTGGTTTGTAGGTTGAGGTGATAGGCATGATCTTTATGATTGTAGGATGCAACTTGATTTTTTTAAACAGTTTTGAGGAATTAGAAAACATGAATTATACCCTCTTCAAAGAAAAGAGATGGATGCTTAAGATGTAATCTTAGAAGTGATAAGTTTAAATGATGATTCTTGAGGTATAGAACTTGAGGACCATTGAATGGAATATAGGTAAGTTTTTTTATCTTTGGGCGATCTGAGGAATTGAAGTTATTCAATTAGGTGTTGATCATTTAAGTGATAATATTCACATTAAGATTTGTGGAATTGAGGACGACCTATTATTCTGATGATTTGGAAGATAATAGTTACTCATGTCTAAGAGATGATCTTTTAAATAGTGATCAAAGACAAGTTCTTGTTTTGGTGGAATCAAACTCCATAGAGACAAATATGGAAATTGCTTAGGGAGATTTCTGATTCTGACTTTAGGAGAGATGTAAGTAACTCAACGAGTGTATTGGCTACTCTTAGAATTGAACCAGAGATTATGTAAATGATTAGGATAACGCAACAATCAGATCCTAAGATTTCAAGGATTTGCAAACCAGTAGTAGAAGGTAGAAAGATCAGATTTTCAAGTGTCCGAGGATGAAAAAGTAAGGTTTCATGGGCTTATTTGCGAAGCTAAAGAGGAAGGACTTAAGAACGAGATGTTGTCAGAAGCACATCGAAACAATTACAGTGTACATCCAGGAAATATGAAAATGTATCAGAATCTCTGCCAACACTATTGGTGGAATGGAATAAATGTTGATATCGCCGAACATGCCCGAAATGTTTGACATGTCAACAAGTGAAAGTAGAACTCCTATTTGTTGAAGTGAAGTCGGCGAAAAGAAATTAACGGGACCGGAGTTAACACGAATCACTTCAGATACTGTAAAAGTGAATTGGAATTGACTTAAAACTGCCCAAGAGAGTTATGCGGATAAACGTCAAAGACCATTGGAATTCAACATTGGTGAATATGTATTTTTGAAAGTATCACCGATAAAAGGAGTATTGCAATTTGGAAAGAAAGGCAAGCTAAGTCTAAGGATTATAGGGCCTTTATAAATTCTTGAGTAGATCGGTGACTTGACCTACCGTTTAGCCCTACCACCCGGACTTTTCAATATTCACGATGTTTTCCATGTATCTATATTAAGGAAATATGAACCGGACACTACTCATGTATTGTATTTTGAGACGATCGAGGTAGACGAAAGAATAAATTATGTGGAGAAACCAGTATAGAGTAGATCGGTGACTTGACCTACCGTTTAGCCCTACCACCCAGACTTTTCAATATTCACGATGTTTTCCATGTATCTATATTAAGGAAATATGAACCAGACACTACTCATGTATTGTATTTTGAGACGATCGAGGTAGACGAAAGAATAAATTATGTGGAGAAACCAGTATAGATCTTGGATCGAAAAGAACAAGTTCTGAGAAACAAGACCATTCAGTTGGTCAAGGTCTTGTGGCAATATCATGACATGGAAGAAGCAACATGGAAAAGTGAAGAGGATATGTGACACAAATATCCACATCTTTTTGAGAGATCATGTACCTTTGAATTTCGAGGACGAAATTACTTAAGGGGGGAAGAGTTGTGACATCCGGAAATTTCGTAACAATAAGTAATTGACGTTGGGAATTTTCTATGTTCGAAGATGATATTTGGATTATAAAGCTAAGTATTATTTAAGTTAATATTCGTGCGGACGCGTAAAAATCGTTGTTGGATTGTAAATCGCGAAGCGCGGATTCGGAAACGTAATCGCCCCGAGCTCGTCGTAATTAAAATCTTAAACGTTGTTGTGTGCGATAATCGTAGTGCGGTATTAATTAATTTACCGTTGTTTTGGGAATTTAGTAGGTATTATTATTATTGGTTAATTTTGGTTAAGTAGTGTTAGTCTTTTATTTTAATTTGCCGTTAAGGAAAGGGGGGAGATATTCTCTCAAAATATCTCTTCTAGACTCTTCTTCTCTCACGTGACTATTGAAGGAAAGGTTGACCGAATGCCATTTGTCCCCTTGAGCTAGACACCTAAGCCTTGGGTAATCATTTTCCTTGGCCAATACTCCTACGATTAAGCCACTGATTTCTTCCACCTGGCCATGATGAAGAGATAAGGTGCCACATGTGAATACAATGAATTTACCCACCCCTTCGTATACTTATCAGTTTTCATCTTCGTCTGGGTAATTACCGAAGACAATTTCACCCAAACCTACACTCTCTCCTTCATTTTCTACTCTCACCACCACCGATCCAAAAATCTGTGGAAGAGTTTTAACCTTTGGGGTGTTCAGATTCTGCACAAGGTAAATGAAAACTCTAGGTTTAAGCTAAGTAAATCTACTGACGCTTTTAACTTGGTTGCTTGAAAAAGGTTATTTTGATGTGCAATAGTGAGGTTGTGATGATAGTTGAATCTGTTTTGCTAGTTCTGTGCATGTTTAAATGGATGTGATTTGTTTCCTTAAAGTATGGTGAAAATCGGCAAGTGAAACGATTAAATCTGATCGTGTAAGTATTATCTTTGAGGTGATTGTTGGATTCTTCTTATTGGTTTATGTATGTTTAAAAAGGGTAGAAAATCGTTTTACTGAAAGTAGAGTATATTATGTGAGTATGAATGATGAGTCTGTATATCTTTGAAACTGCTTAGACTTTACTGTAAAAAATCTGGTTATGTGTATTTTTTAAACTGTTCAGACTTTACCTTCAGACCTTACGCTCAGACTTTACCTTCATACTTTACCACTCAGACTTTACTTCAGAGTTTACCGCCCAGACTTTACTGCTCAGACTTTACCGTTCAAATTTTACCTTCAGACTTTAGCCTTGTGAGTCTGAACTTGCTTCTGAATCTGAATGTGCCTTTGAGTCTGAACCCGCTTGTGAGTCTGAACCCGCTTCTGAGTCTGAATTCGCTTCTGAGTCTGAACCCGCTTCTGAGTCTGAACTTGCTTCTGATGACTCGTATTTTCTTCTGATGACCGAATTTGCTTTTGAACCCGAAATTGTTTATGAATTGAGTTTGCTTCTGAGTTTGAAATGTATTGTTTCGTATTTAATGTCTCGAATGATGCATTTCATGGCTTTAAAGTACAAAAACCGTGATGGCTCGGTATGGGACGGGCCAAAGCGGATTTATGCATGCAAATACTTGGTTGTCATGACTTGCATGAGAATAATATTAATTCCGTCGCCCATTTAGTGGTGTGTGACGATGCCCCGTGTGTCGGGATGCCTCGTAGGTCAGGATGCCCCGGGGAGTGTTTCAAGATGCCTCGGGAGTCGAGATGCCCCGTTGGTCGGGATGCCCCAAGAGTGTTCGGGAGGATGAAGTAATGAACCTAATCGCATGAGCATAAATGTTTTACATCATGCTTGCGTTTGAGTGAAAATATTATGATATGTTGCATTATTCAGATTTTGCGGCACATCTAGACGGAAAAGGTATAACTTGCATTCAAGTTCTATGCATATCGTTTGCTATGCATGCATATGTGTTTATGCCAGGTGAAGTGGTAAACTGATTTTCCTAACTTAAAACTAGAGATTTTATTTACTGGGCTTCGGCTCATCCCATTATTTTTCAGACATGTAGGAATGGACAATCTGCTACCAATGCTTGCTAGTTTTTCCCTAAATACTATGAATGCCAGGACGTTGATATGCTTATCCCGATGGCAGATATAGTTTGTACTAGATGTATATCTACTATATGGGTAGATGCGGGATTTTGGTTGATATGAAGGCGACGACATCTACGACTCGTTGTAAAGTCTACTTTTGTGCGGGCCGTCTTTGGAGTAAATTGTAGCATGGAGATAGGCAACCTCGACCTACCCAGATGTTTGTTTTGTGATTTTATGATGTATTGTCTGGACTTGTAATTCTCACAAGTATTGTTAATGAGAAGCAATAGTATTTTTGACAAAACTTATTCAGACTTTGACTTCCACTGGCCATTTTTTTAATAATATTAATTGGTACGTGTTGGCGTCACATTCAATATCTGCAAAATGCTGTTGAAATATTGTGTTATTTACCATGGAGCATAGTGCTAAAAGCTCAGGATTTACCGACTTTGATGAGATAAGTTATGAAGACACGAGAGAGTAAAAAGAGTAATCTGTTGTCTAGACAAGATAGAACCATGAGCAGACAAAACGGTATATTCACCATCATCCTGAGGAATATCCATTAAGCATGTAACATATCCATGTATTAGAGTCCTTCAGCAATACTACAGGCCGATGAATAAGCAACCCGATGAATAAGCAACCATTTGCATGGCTGGTCGAGCAGAAATAGACCCATGCAAAAATTCAAGTATTTCCCCCAACGAGACAATTTCCATCAACTGGGTACAATGGAAGCAGCTATCTAGCAGCCAAAATGGCTGAAAGCAAAGATTGCATTCAAAAATCACAAAGACGGTTGCACTGTCAAGCTAATGTTGAAGTAAAATTCAGACCTTTACTCTTCTTGATATGTCAACCACATTAATTACAAGCACGTCTTGAGCATAGATGCATAGCCAAATGAGAAGTAGGGGGAATGGATTCGCTAGAATGACACAACGGACTCCGAGTGGGCTGAATTTCGAAAATGAGATAGAGCAGTGTCACTTTCGTCATCCCTTTCAAAAGTTATTGGCATTCCGTTAGGCTGCATCCTGGAGGCCAAGTAATATGAAAATATGGTTCAAACATTCTACAAGAAAAGCAAATAAAAGCACATGCAGGAATGGGTATGCAATGCAAGTCAATTCCTTGGCAAGCAAACTTTCTAGGAGAAAAATAGAAGGTGCATGAATTATCAGCAGAACAGATAAATGTGAAACTCGATGCTCAATGCAGTTCCAAAACATGTTGCTGCAGTTGATGTCTAGACCAAACATGTTCATCTTGCTGTTTATATTTCATCCAGTCCACATCAAATTGCCAAAAGCAGAACAGGCTACACGTCTACCACAAATGTTGCCATTAAAAAAAAGACCAGAACCTAGAGCATTGCAAGCTTCTTCCAGCCAAAGATTCTGACCTCCATTGCTTTCCTTATCCCTTCTGTCTTTTTTACAAAGCTTTGAAGGTAAGGGTGTGCAACTGCAGTTTTAATTTCTCGGTTTTGAGTCACTACTTAAGCAAATACCTATAATGTCATGCCAGTTTTCAAAATATCACCATGTCAAAATGAAATTCAAAGTGTCAATAAATACCTTTGAGAGAGAGAACTTTCCTCAGACAACGCCTTTTCCAACCTTTCCTCAAATGGCGTTGCGTGCCAACTCACCTTTTGATCCTAGGGGAAGAAAAACAACAGACTGATTGTCTCGAGGAAAAAGTTTTGAGTTAGAATCACAAAGGAACAGACAGGCCACAAAGAGATACCTCCTTATACTTGTTAGTTGAATTAGGGATCCCATTACCATCCCACCACTTTGGCAAGGTTGGAGTTTCATTTTCATTCCAATGTGCTGCGACAAGACCGATGATTGGCCTATCACCAGGAGTACTATGAAATTGGGATTTTCTGCTAGCTACGGCTCTAAATGCGTGATCATCGTCATGCCCTTTTTTCTGAGGTGGTTTCAACCAGGAAGATAAGCTTGTTTCCACTTTTGATTCTTTTCTTGCTGAAGTTTCTTCGATGTGCGTCTCAGATTTTTTCCTTGTGCTTCCAGGTTGCTCAGAAGAGTCTTCCAACTCATCTAAAAGTAGATTACAATTAGACTCCCCATCCATTAGTGACTTCCACTGAGAGACGCTCTGTACAGGATTTAGAACTGAATACACATACTCTGACCTAATACGTGCCTTTCGAGGCGACAATTTCTCCATGTATGCAGGAAAAACAGTTCCAGGAGTCTGCATTTCCTCTGTTAGCTTCATTGGTGTTGGATGAGGCCCAGCATTTGATGTATCCTGAATACCGCGTGATTCAGATTCTTCAAAACTCCGGCTTGGAATTTCAGATGTTGAATCTCTGGACGAAGACCCATCAATGTCAAAACGCACTGACTTGTTCCTACACTGAGCATTCACAGTGGGATTGGAGGGTGAAAGTGCAGTTGCTATGCTATCATTCTGTCTCTTATGATGCTCGCTAGTTGTTTTAACTTCGAATGCCCGACTGCCCTCACTGGAGCTAATGGAAGAAGTTCCCATGTTCTGGTCGTCTAATATGCAGCTGCAATAGCACAAACGAATAAGTTCCTATTTTCCTTGCCTACTGAGTCCTGATCTGATTATCAAGCATATTATGGTCAGATTCTTTATAGAGCATCTAACCTGCTAGCTGTATGCTCAGCAGAATTTGAACCTTTTCCCCACTTGTCAGAAAGTCTTAGAGGTGTTGGGGACAATTCATGTTGCTTATTAAGCTCTAGCTGAAGCCTCTCAATGGATGAAACTGGAAGCCACGAGTGAAACTTTGAATTTTCAGAATCCCTACCTTCAGTTGGTGAAGCCATTGGCCGGTTAGATGCTTTCCGGATTTCATTAGGGGTTTCCGGTAACGTTCCACATGCTTTAAGGAACTTACCCTGTTAAAGAGAAAAGTGAATGTCACAGAGCCTACAAACTGTCGAATATCAAGCCAAGTATTCTAAAATATAAAAATATGAATGATTTTGATATTGGAGACTGCTTCCTCTATGATGTAAACATTCCTTCTTTTCGTGTAATTACAAACACAGTAACTACGATAAACAATATTCCGTAGAATTAATTAGCTCTGACCCCAAGAATCATGATCCCAAGAAATTACCTAACAACCTTCTTGAGCTAGTTAATGATCCTCACCAAGAAATTTAGGTCAGAACACAAAATATGTGGGTCCTGTGACAGGGTAAGCTTGAACCGGTCTAAAACTTAATTCAAAGATAGCAAATATGGAAGTCATTTGAAATCCTCTAACTCACAATGTAAAAGAAGAGGTAGATTCCCACTTGAAGTGGAAGGCTAAGGCATGTAACCGTAAGACCCTGTTAACAAATGCATGGTCCTCTTCTCACTTCAGTAAGTTACACTGTCTGGCAGAAGTATGCCAAGTCCACGGCCCGAGAGAAAAAACTATCGCCATTAAAGATTGCAAGTCTCAATAACCTCACTCTACTTCAGCCAGAAGCATCTTAATGGTGCCGAAGAATTTCTCTTTCCCTTATCGTTGATCATTAGTGGGGGTTTCCCCGCTAGAATTTCCTGCCCTCTAACCATAAATATTTATTTTTGTTTGTTGAAAGATTTAAGGTCATCAATGGCAGACAACGTCACATACTAAATGTTAAAAGCAAAAGCCCAAAAGCCACAACTCCTCCATCCAAACCCAAACTACATTTCCATTTTGCAAAGAAGTAAGACTAGAAAAAGCGTGGAAAATAGAAGTTCCAGAACTACAAGTTGAAGCAGTCATTAACAGCTTAGCACTTCGAAGCAGATTGACATTTGCTACAACATCTTTAACAGTAACTAAGACAACGGTCAGGCAGCTAATTAACAGTGCAATTAACATGTGGTTTCCGAATCGTCCCTTTTCTCCAAAATTTCCCAGTTATATCTAACGACCCCTTCTTAGCCAGAAGTTCCAGGTGAACACATGCAAAAACACAAATGGAAGATCGTGAAAAAGCATACCTCGTCTCTGAGCTCCTTGCTGATAAGTGGAGATCCATAAACAAGACTTTCACTGTCCTTGCAAGGAGAACCCTCATTTCCTTTTCCAAATAAAGAAGCAAACCGATTGTCGCTTCATCCTCGAATCAATCAAAAAGATCACCAAAAAAGAGAGAAAACTTACCATCAGACAGAAATAGAGCTGATAAGGGGTTCCGCGAAACAACTGCTTCCTGGGTGTGATGCACACAAGAGAAGACAGCAGTGAGCTTCAGATCAAAAACAGAATCCGCCGTTGCCGCCAAAACGCGGTAATTATACATAACAAATGCCAAGCACACACAGATTTGAGCAGTTGACTATCTCCAGCATTCTTCCCAAATTCTACACAACATAGCTAACCAATAATGACTGCAGCAGAAACTGAATTTTTGACCCGACAGGAAGCACGAGTGAGATCGCCAACCGACGAGACGACGAAGCTAGTTTCGTCCAGCTATCTTAATCAAAAGTAACAACAAACATCAAAGAAACGTAAAACGAAAGAGCTACTCGAATCGCCCGTCTTATTCCGAGAAGGTTATGAATCCCGCTCATCCGCTTCCAAAATCTTCTCGCGACAGCACGGGATTTCGCTAATCCGATCCACCGGTAAACATTCATCGCCTCCCGGCGAAACCATCAAATTCGAAAAACAAAACTACTCACGAACGAGCAACCGCTCCGAGCACGAGTAACCGGCATCGAGAGGACGCCTTCTCCGTCGACCCACGCAAATGCGCTAAGGAGGATGAGGAGGCTTACGGGGGTCTTCTGGTAGCGAACGGAGCGAGGGAGCCCGGCGCGATCGCCGTCCTCCTTCACGCGGAAGCAAGCGAAGAAGCAACCCATCGGATCCCTCTCGGAGAATTCGGAAGAGCCTCGACGGCGGCGGCGGCGGCGGAGGAGGAGCCGAACCCTGCTCGGAAACCCTAGCCTTGAACGCGCATCCGAGAGAGAGCGCGCGCGCTTCGCAGGGGGGGGGGGGGGGGGGGGGGGCCGCCGTCCGCCGTCCGTCGTCGTCGTTTCGAATTTGAAACGAAGGGGACGAGGGAAATGATTGTGGGCCGCCTGCAAAAATGATGGATTATTATTGCGTGGTCTCGTTGTCGTCCAACGTACGCGACGATTCCGGCGGTGGCGGATACGCGCCAATTTTTTGGCCCTCTTTTCCCGGCTAATGGCGCATTCCGAGACAAATCCATTTGGCCGGTCCATTCCCAAATCCATGAAATCCCCTCTAATTTGTAAAATCTTTAGAGATAAAACACCGTTTGAAACACTAAATTAGTATCTCGCGACGCATTTGCCATGAATTAATCTTTTTTCAATCTCGCGGAGAATTTCAAATCAGTATCGATCGCCCAAATATACTTTCCGTCAGCATCCGGTCCAATATTTCGACAAAAAAGAAAAAAAAATGCGTGAATATTTCACGTCAGATCCGTCATTCTGTAGTCCAAATCCGTTCTGCATCTGTCTACCCACGAAGGCTAACTCGGGTCAAGGACTTGATTTTCTGTGAGACGAAGAACAATTCGAAGTGAAATGTAGACCGACATGAAATTTTTAATAGTATTATTCCTAAATTTCGACATCGCGTCTTTAGCTCTACGGTCTACGGGTTTTTCTAACACAGGCCACAGTCGATATATTTAAGTGGAGAATTTTTTTTAAAAAATTTTGACCACATATAAATTAACCTATATAATGAAGATTATCTAGGCACCTTGCAGGCTTGCACCCTCATTTGACGACGATTTTACTTATAATTCTCTACTGCTGCTTGACGTCCGGCCCGAGATGATGTGCTCGGCCCGATTGGTCTCCGTCGAGGCCCGAACTTGAAGCTGGTTTTCAAAGAGAATTTTATTCCTCCTCCATGAAAAATCTTTTTTTGGGACGATAGCACAAATAACTCCTAAATTTTGATCAAATATGAAATTTTATTCCTACACTTTTAATTTATGCGATGTGGTCCCCAAACTTTTATCTCAATATGTAATGTCGTCCTTAAACTCGTAATTCATTCAATATGATCCGTAAACTATTGATAAATGTTCAATGCAGTCCTCAAACTATATGAAAATATTTAAAAGTTCAAGGACCACATTGAACATTGGATCAAAACTCAGAGATCGCATTTAAACAAATTAATAGCTCGGAGAGAACATTATATGTTGGATCAAAATTCATGAACCATTTTTATTATTTTTCCAATTTTTTTTTGTTTTTGTTTTTGGTTTTTTTGGGGGTGGAGCAAAAGGATGATACGAGGTTAATCAGAGCAAATCCAGCATTAGGATCAAGCTCTTGAGTCTTGAGCTCATCTTTGAGAACCCACAAACTATAAAGCGTTTTTCGTCTGTAGAAGACATGATTCGAATCCCAATCTATAAGACAATGTACAAATTGTTGTTTTTGTGTGTGTGATCATTTTGACTATTTAGCTTTTGTGCACCGCGGGTCTTAAATTAATGTGGCTTGATGTATAAAGAGTTTTGTACAGTGAATGATGTGTAACGAGTTCTGTCTATCGAGAGCCGTCCTGAGAAATGAACGAGACTGGGAAAATCCGAAATAGGTGAAATATTTGAAAGATGATATATAATTATTATGATATATTTATTGGAAATTAAAAAAGGGGGAAAAAAAAAGGAAATCTTTTTCTTTAAGAAGAAGTCAAAAGCAAGTGGGAGTAGGTGAATGAAATGGGCCGCCCCTACTTTCCCCAAGGATCTATTTTGTAGAAATCGAATTATCAAGAGACACATAAAATAACACAAGTTATTAGAATTTAGAAAGACCAAAAGCTGCGGGGATAGATCATGCAAAACATTCTTGAAATTTGGCGTAGAATGTAAAAATTCTTGAACTTTGAATAATTGCACAGCACTCCCTTCACTTTTCTGATTCACATGCACTTCGCACATAAATTTTAGGCATGAATTGTTATCGACAATAAAAAAAAATTCCCATCTACTTCAAATAACACAAGCGATCACTTTTAGGAGGATGTTTTTTAAATCATTTATTTTTTACGAAATAAACGGAGCCTCGAGGAATACAAATGTAAATTTTTCTTCGAATCTTATGTGGAAAAAGGGGACATTATACTAAATCCCGATAATTTTGTGGATGTAACTCCTTTGTCCCCTCTTAACATTTGGTTAAAAAATGTAAGCGTCCTCTACTACTGTTATAAGAATCATTGAAACGTTCTTCCTCGAAGGATTCGTGGTTTCCTCTACATCCACATGAACATTGACTTATAGATGAAATGGTTTCTTTTGCCGAAATGATTGCGACGAGGAGCAGGATAGAAAAGATGGCTTCTTGTGTTTTATTTTCTCCAGAGTCGTCGTTGTAAATTGGATTTTCTTCCTAGCTACGCGAGAGTCATATATAATAATCGAAGTTTTGAGAGGACGTGAACGCATGCCATCCTCAAAAGTCACGAGAGTTTCGTGGCCTCTTTTCTTCTTCTTTCTTTTTTTTACCCTGCGCGTCGCGATGAGTTTAACATTGGAAACGTGAATGCAATTGGACGACGACGATGAAATAAAAAACCGAGAGACGGCTTACAATGATAGGAAGCTGGAGGCAAACGTGTATTACCCCCAAATTCATCCATTCCACATCTTTAAAACTTTTTTTAATTGAGACATACATCAAGATCACAATCAAAATTAAGGAGCATTTAAAAAAAAAGATTAATATCGCGGAAAACCTCATACTAGTGCATTTGTAACAAATTTACCCTCTATTAAATTAAATTAAATTAATATCACAAAAAAAATCACAAACTGGTACACCTGTGACAAACGGAGAGTAAAATCCGGAACCGGTACACCCGTCAACTGTCAAGTGCCATCCAACTCAAAAATTTGATGGTAACATTTAACGGAAACTATCGAAGGTAAAATTATCACAAATCTACAAATTTGGATTTTTTCCGTGATCAAAGAATCAGTTTAGGATGAATCCATTATAAATATATCAATTTAAAATGTTTCGTAATATTAACCAAAAAAAAAAAAACAATCCATCTATTTATCATCAGTCTCTTATGAAAATCGATTCACGTCCATAAAAAGGTGCCCAACCCGAACCACCCCTTTTTGTTCCCAAGGCCGATAACTTTTTGTCCACGTGGAGGATTCATAACCTCAGATTAAGGAAGGTACTTTTTCCTTTTGGGCACCCACTTTCGCATTGAAAAAATAAATAAAAAAAAACGCAAAAATAAACTGACCCTTCATTAAATTCGGAAAATCTCGCCACATGTTTCCATCAGAGCGAAGACAAAAGACGGATCTGTCGTCGTCCTGACTCTTAATTTTCTTCGTGAAAGTATTTGTTGTTCGGTTGTTCCAATACAAGACAAAACCAAAAAAAAATGGTAAAAAAAAATTAGATGGAGCCGAGGGAAAAATTTTCGAACGGGGAACGTGCGCGGAGGCGCTCCTTCGCAAATCTGTCTAGGCCATTCGATTCGAGGGTCGTTTCCACACCTTTTCTCTTTTCCGTGAAAAGAAAAGGAACGGTGAAAAGTAATTCATCTTTTTGGAAATTAAATTTTCTCGAATTTTTGAAATCTACAAATTTTTTGTGTTTAAGGGCGTGTTTGTTTCGGGGAGAATTTATTGATTTTCCTTTCCTTTTTTTTAGACTAGGAGGTAATAATTTTCCGTTGGCTAATCATTTTCAACAAGATAAACGTATGAAAGTTCGAAAAATTAATTTGCAAAAAATTCTTTCAATCAAACAAACGCATCCTAAAATTAAAAGGCATTCCGGCCACGATTGTCATGGCCAAAAACTAATATCCATGCGCGAGTGCATGGGTAATTTGCATGACAAGAAAATGGTACGGAAATATGATTCGACTTCTCTGCGATGAACTCTGTGAATGGTGTCTCGAACTGAACCGAAACTCGAATATTCTATTTCAACGAGAACCACCGTTCAATTCAAGGTTTCCGACTTATAGTCTATTGGATTCACTTTCCTGCTTCTATATGTTCTTTTTTTTTCAAATTTTTTTTTTATATCTCTTGCAACGTGGGGAGATGCATTTTATGTTAGGGCTAAGCATTGGAACCGTACTGAACCGGGATCCAAACTGGCATGTTCCCGTGGGAATCGGTCCACTTCCTTGTTCCAAAATTTGGAACCAGTGATTATTAGCCTGATTCACGGTTCCAAGTGTATAATCGAATCGCCCGGATTGGATCAATACTTTTTTTTAATCTGCAGGTTAATGATACTTCATCATATTTTATCACACAGTTAGCGTCTTTCCACTAAGATTTTCATTGATTAAAGATCCAAAACACTAAAAAAATTAAAAATTTATACTATGCAACAACACTTGCAGTCTTGTAGGGAATAGAAAAAGAGAAAGAAAGAAAGATAGATATCAACACCGGTTCTTGAACCCATCGGGGAACCGATCGGTCTTGTTCCAAGACCAAGTGCGTTGGTTTCCAATTCCAAAAATTGGATTGGTTCCTGATTTCAGGGTGGGAACCGACCCATCTTAGAATTGATCACTCCTAATTTATGTATGTGTTTTCTCGGGAAAAATATCAATTTTTAAAGAAAATGCAAATAAAATTCGGTGCTACCTTGAATCCACGTAAAACTAAAGCGTTTAAGGCGTTTGCCAAATGGGGAGTTTACAGGAAGAGAACCTCTACCTCGTACGTAACTACAAAATTTCCATTATAATAATCCCTTTCGTTTTCTCCAGTCCAATTCGCCACGAGTCTTCGACAACGAAATGTCCGGCCATATTGATGTTATTGTTGTCCGTGTGCAATGCACTCGCAACTTGCAAAAATCAGTTCACACGTAACTTAGGCCGCTTTACTATTCCGGATGAAATGCTATCTTCGCCACGACCGATTTACAACTTACAAGAAATGACGCGACGAGCATGACTCGCTCGTTGAATTGATCGCTTGCAGATTGTTGCGCCATTTCACTTGCCATATGGATTTTGTAAGCCGATTTAGTTATACCGAGCACTAATCTTTTTCCTTTCTTGGAAATAATTTAGTCATATAGACAATCTCACTCTATTAACATCTATATAATCGTTTTTTCTCGCGTGCAATAATCTAGTGATATCTGGGTCAAGAAAAAAAAAAGGGCCAAACATTAGGGTCACATGGGTGTGGTCCAGTCGGAAACATTGTCCTTGTCCCCACCCCCACCTCGAGATTAGAGGAAATAAGCCTATGTTTTTTTGGCCTAACTAATGCGATAATCTTCTGTTAACAACTAGGACCAGTCCAAGATGTCGAATCCCAGATTCCTTTGGACACTAATTAATGCCCGAAATGGAGAGCCCTGCTGCGCACGGGAAGAGAGCACTTGATGTGTGGGGAATTTGCCAAACGATGCAAGCACTGAACGGTGTCCTTTGCTCTCGACATAGCACCGTCTTCCCAAATCACTTTGCGGTCTCAACTCCATTGATACTAGCGAACATAGTTGTTCGGTTCTCGTATATCTGATAAGACTCTACCCACCGATGATAGGTATAGTTTCGAAATCAATCTGCGTAATAGTCGTTACAATTTGATTATAAGCTATGTTTACTATGTTATGACTATTTAAACTCGAGACGTTGCGCATCGCCAGTCATGTGTAAACTATGTGAACTTCAATCATCAGGTCATCCCCTCGATTTTCTTTTGTATTTTTTTTGCATAAATTGCTCTAGAAGTTCTAAATGGTGGGCCCTATGGGCAATCGAGTCTTAAAATGTTTGAATTTATGCAATCAAGCTCTTTATGTTTTTGGTTCGGTGCAATTTAGTCCTTCCAGCGATTTCACAACCAAATTTGCTGACTTGGCATGTTGGAATTTGCTTGGCGTAATTTTTAAATTTATTTTTACATAGATGGCACTGGTAGAAAAAATTAAGAAAACTAAAAACAATGAAAAAAGAACGGTGGAAATAAATCATAAAAAAGGCTATTTTTTTTAAAAAAGAAGAAAAAACAAAGACTAGAGAGGGCGAGTGTTACACCACTAGGACTTGGTGAAGGCTCGCAACCCTCGTCGACCACAAACAAGGACATGCGAGCCCTCATTTTGATCTTGGGCAACAGTTTGCATGCCCTCCTTGAGGCCTCGACCACATATGTGTAGTTAGAGATGAGCGGTTCCAGGTTTTGTATAGGTTACATCTAAAACTTGAAACATACCAGTTAGAATAGAACATACATTGCAATGGCATACCAAACCACCTGTCATAGGTTTTAGGGTTTACTCAAGTTTCACCTATATTATTAATTGAACAGAATGACCATCACTTTCTTTTACAATTCACTAGCCACAACTTATATTTAGACACGTGAAAAATATTAAATATTAACAAAGTAAAAGTCCCAGTCATAAAATAAAAGCTCAGACTAGTGGTTTCATATTATACACTCACATCTGACGCCATGGAATACCGTAAGATCGCGCAAAGACATAGACTAAGAAAAACACAAAAGCTTGTTCGAGGTTCCACTTACGTAGAACCTGTAACCTACCCGTTGAAATAGGTTTCCCTATTTTTAGAACTTGAAACTTACCCTGCATATCCCGGAACCTGAAATCAGACAGGTTCCCATCGATCCGGTTCCCTGATTGCAAATTTTACCCTAGAACCATACTCACTCCTATGTGTCGTGATGGTACACACACTCTCTCTTTCTCTCTCACTTGGTTTCTTTAATTTTACACTTTTTTTTTGTAATTTTCATTCTTGGATAATTTTATTTTTTCCAAAATTTTTTGCTTTCTTATTTTTTCCTTTTAAAAAAAAACGATTCTATTTTTAAATGTGAAGCCATGCATGCTAAAGAAAAAGTTAGAAAGGCGTCCGGCCTGATTTGGAAGTACCACGTCAATAAATTTGTTCGAGCGATTGTTGAAAAAACTTAATTGTACCGGATCCTGAACGTACAAAACTTTGATTGCGCAAATTTAAACGATGAGAACTCGACCACGCATTGGACAAAAGAGTTCAAAACATGCGCATATTAAGCAAATGGAAACACCCCAGGAATCGACAATATCGAGCAAAACCACGACAGTTGTGTACGTGCGCGAAAGCCGTGTCGTGTCGCGTCGTGTGAATCAATCACGCTCCTCTTCATTCACGCACCCATTCGACGGTGCCCGTGCCTCCACACTTTAGGCCCCACTTCTCCAGCCCCACAGTCCCATTCACAGGGCCCAAATTTCACACCCACTTGCTCCCCTTCCCTCTCTCTCAAAGGGCATCTTCTAGTACCATGTCGATGCAGCTTTCACATGTGTGGCCATGCTGAAATTTGACGGAAATAAAGAAAATGTATGGAAAGAAATCACATTGAGGCCGATATGCATCACATGTCCTCGAGGAGGGACATTGACCCAGATAATGATTCAAATTGCATCTTCTTCTAGTACCATGTTCATGCATGATGCTGCAATCTCAAGTATAGATTTAAGGGTGATGTCATTTTAGCTTGAGCTAGCTATAGTTTCTTCCTTTTTCTCGTTTTGTTATGCCCCCAATAATATAACGATAAAAGGGCGACATCAATCTCGACCAATGAGCTCATTCAAAATTATGTTGTTATTGACATTATCCAAATCTCTCGGGGACTAAAATACTCGTCAAATAAGTTTTGCTCGGATGTGTATTTCGAGTCATTTTCTCTCCAAGTAATGGTGAATTGAATCATTTATAGCCAATCCTTGTAATTGTTTAGCTTGGTTACACAAGAAAGTCAACTTTCTCATCTCGTCCATAAATTACAAACCCTTTACTTAAATCGTGTCGGAATATTGCTCTTCCTATCGTGTTAGTCCGAAATCTACTAGTTCTTTTCTTTGCGTTCGATTGAGATGCGAAAGTTTTGAAGTGTGCGCAATACACGTATCCAAGTACAATCTAGATCGTGAAGGGAGAGACCTATCGTGTTTGGCGATGTGCATGCACCACGCTCACTCGATAAACCTTCCAACCGAGGCATTGGTCGAACTCACAAACGTTAGCCACACATGGGCCAGACCAGTCCCATGTGTCAGATCAGGGTAGGCGGGGAGCATATTCAAAAGCTACAGAGAGAGAGAGAGAGAGAGAGAGAGAGAGAGAGGTGCGGGGGGGAGGCATCTCTTCATCTGTCAAAACCTTTTTGGAGTCGTCATCACTATCGTCGTCCCACTTGAGTGGAGGAAATTAGTAAAACCCGCCATTGGTGGTCGCCCATTTGCTCAAGGCTACTACTACTTTTCAAGAGACCATTCTCCTCTTCTCCTTCTCCTGCTCCTCTGTACTGTTCCATTTCCACTAGAAAGTGGGTGGGCCTCGGGGAAATCTTCACCCAAGAGCAATACCCGAGTAGGAAAATACAAAGATCCATCCTTGCCCTGAGCTCTTTGTGTGAGAGAGATGTCTGGTGTTCTTCTTTGGGTGGTTGGCCCCAAAGGGAACGGCGCGTCCCTGTTCAATCTCGAGCCCAGGACGAGCAAGAAACAGAGGAGGCCAAGATTGTGCTCGGGAGTGCGAGTGGTGAGCGTGGTCTCGGCCATTTCGACCTCGGTGGCGAGCCCGTCGAGATCTTCAGTGGAGAGGGTGTACGAGGTCGTGCTGAAGCAAGCAGCTTTGGTGAGGGAGCAGAGGACAGAGAAGGCTCTGGATGTGAAGAAGCCGGAGGAAGCAGAGGGGTTGACCGGCGGCGACTTGTTGAACGAGGCCTACGAGAGGTGTGGCGAGGTCTGCGCCGAGTATGCCAAGACGTTTTACTTGGGTAACTTTGCTCTCTCCCTGTGCGCGTGTGGTGCTACTTTTTTCTATTGAGATTTGGATAATGCGTTCATCTTTTGACTATGAATTCTAAAAAGGTTGATGTTAGTTAAAGCATAAAGAGGAAGGATATCATTATCTTGCTCAATTGATTAAAAAAAAATGGGGTCCAGTGAAAACTGCACTTTTTCTGGCTGACCTTATCTCCTGCATTGTCTCCAAGTTAGTTCCTGGGCTTTCTTTGGATACTGGAGTTTAATTTTATTTCAAACCACCTCCAATTCCAACTATCTGGTTGAAGATTACTTATTGAAATGAGGATAAACTTGCATCAAATTATTTAAATGTGCTTCTGTGCATTTGGAAACTGGGTTTGGGGTCGATTTAGCTGTTCACTGCCTGTCTCCATATGCTTAATCTGGCATATACAGGAATTTGACAATCTGAGATACCCGGTTACTCGTTTTTCACCAGGAATTTTTCTGAAATCTACTTGTTAATACCCTACATTGATTTCTGCACGAAAGATATGTGAACTGAATTTTCAAACTCGTTTTTTAAGTCATTCAGGTGTAGACTAGCTAACTCAGCTGCTTGCCTCACAAATTTTAGGTACGCTACTGATGACACCGGAGCGACGAAGAGCTGTTTGGGCAATCTACGGTATTGACATGACCATTCTTTTCGAGCATGCGCTTGTGACTTTAGTTCGTCCATGTCCGTTTTTTATCCAATTTGTGCATTTATGTGACAGGATCAATCATATAATCCATGCATATGTAAAGCAGCAATCTTTGCGATCTTAAACATTCTGAAAAATCGCTAAAATTGCACTGCTGAATGGTCCTTGTGATAAGCGGGGTTATAGAGAAATGAATAAGCTGGATCACTGTATGTTGCAGTGTGGTGCAGGAGGACTGATGAACTCGTGGACGGACCGAACGCTGCGCACATCACTCCAAAGGCTCTGGACAGATGGGAGAAAAGACTGAATGATCTCTTCGAGGGCCGTCCTTATGACATGTACGATGCTGCTCTGGCAGACACCGTCTCGAAGTACCCCGTGGATATTCAGGTAGAAGTCCTATCGCTCTTTGAAGTCGCCACTTCGATTTTTGTCACTATGATTTTAGTTAAGTGTATCATCCACAAATCACTCGACAACTGAACCATAACTGCTTCTGTGCAGCCCTTCAAGGACATGATAGAGGGCATGAGGCTCGACTTGAGAAAATCGAGATACATGAACTTTGACGAGCTCTACCTTTATTGCTACTACGTAGCCGGGACGGTCGGGTTAATGAGTGTACCAGTCATGGGGATCGCGCCTGAATCAAAGGCATCCACAGAAAGCGTCTACAATGCTGCATTGGCACTTGGGATCGCTAATCAGCTGACCAACATACTCAGGGACGTCGGCGAAGAGTAAGGTTTTGCTATTACAGAAGAAAAAGCTGCTTGAAAATAAGTACTTTCATATCGTTCTCATTGTTGGACATCTTAGCTTGGATTGTTGAAGCAATTTGAGCACCCATATAGGTGATTTTATCAAAACTCATCACACTGCAATTCAAATTGTTGACACAGTGCTAGGAGAGGAAGGGTATATCTCCCGCAGGATGAGCTCGCGCGCGCCGGGCTATCAGATGAGGACATATTCCGGGGGAAAGTGACCGACAAGTGGAGGGGATTCATGAAAGAGCAGATAAAGCGGGCGAGGAAGTTCTTTGACGAGGCTGAGAAGGGCGTCATGGAGCTCAACGCGGCGAGCAGGTGGCCGGTGATGGCGTCGTTGCTGCTGTACAAGCAAATCCTGGACTCCATTGAAGCAAACGACTACAACAACTTCACAAAGAGAGCTTATGTGGGGAAGGCAAAGAAGCTCATATCACTGCCTGTGGCTTATGGAAAAGCACTTGTGGGGCCTTCAACAGATGCGTGAGTTGACTGACGAGAACTTGGGTTTTTGGTCCATTTTTTGAAGTGTTGGGCTTGTAGCAGAACAGGTTGAGCTCTGTAAATTCCCATGTTATATAGATGTAGCAGTCGCGTATAAGGAGCCATAAGTGGCTAGTGAAATAAGGGTCCATGGTCAGCTCAGCTTTGATTATTAGTTTCTTCACTGTTTAAATTAGAAAAGGGAGCAGTGAATGTAAAGATCACATGAAAGGACCAATTAGTTCTTGTACAATCTCTCTCTCTCTCTAACACATTTGTTCTTAACGCCATATTTTGGAGGGACTTTATGAACGGTAGATAACACGCGCTTGACGGGCCTTGCGTAGTGCCTACCTGATCGGATTTTTGGTTCAGGCCTATTCCAGTTCACGCGACATTGCCGCCTAACCGAGGCTGCTTGCAACTGCTGTAGCAGTGAACAGTGAATGTTGCAGCTAATTAAAATGGCAAGAATTCCAAGTACTGATCACGAAGTTAGCACTCTGAACACCGCATGACTAATGGGTCATTGGGCCTGATCGTGAGCCACTTCACATCTCAGCTTGATGGGCCATTTCACCATGTAATTAGAATTGACAAGGGCATTTTGTCTATTGGAAAGGGAAAGGTGATTACCACCTGCCGTTCATTCTGATCATTCCCACTTCTAGACCTACAGGGTTGGTGCTGAAAGATAACCCAAAAATTAGCTACTCTAAGGTTTGGTTTCAAATTCTTGTTTCGTCCCCGTACTAAATCATCTTTAGGGACATCGACAACGACGTGACGCGGCATGTCATTTCTCTTGAAGAGTTAATATCTCAAGAAGAAGATGACGTAAAATAGTCTATTCGCGTTTCTCGTGACATATTTAAGAACGAATCTCCCCGCTGATTTCGCTCGCGTCCATCATAAATTGACCGAGATCTCACTAGCCAATATAGCACATGCTGATTTTGCGGATCCCAAGCTAGTGAGGACAGAATCTAAAGCCCTGGTTTAAGGTCTAAATTTTTCTAAAGGCATCATCTTGAACCTTTGAATTATGCATGAACCAGAAGCAATCCCCACTTATGGTGTCGCAGAAAAATGTCTGCTCGCTCGGCGTGCGCATGTATAACTCGCTTTTCCGTGACGACTTGCTTCAGTTCTCCTCTCTCTCTCTCTCATGGCCTCATTGGTGTCACATGGTATCATCACGCTTCAAGAAATTTCATCCTACCCACTCATGGCGTCCAAGAACTTATTGCTCGAAACCCTAAAAAAATCGCGTGAGTTCTACCAATTCTTTTGACTCTACCACTTTGCGCGAATGACATCATCGTCCCCTCTTTGGATTTATGCAGAGTTTTGTTGTGCAAGGGTCTTGATAATTCTTAAACTAAATGGAGCGACGGACGCGGGAATTTGGATTAAAAGAATGATATAGAGAAAATTTCACGATATCTCAACTCATCTCATCGGAGGATATACAGGAATTTTATATGATGTTGTTTAAACTACATAATACATCTGCTAAAGATGCACACGAGGGTCGGGGAGGGGATGGCTCTGTTTAGCTCCCCTTGGTTCGTCATCGGATAAAGACGTGATTTAGTATTTTCTTACCATGATAATATCTTTGAGTGAGTTTAGTAATGTCAGACATCTCATACCATATATCTATACAAATGTCTGCTAATTAATATGATAGTTGTTTATGCTTTTGTGAAAGAAAAAATGACCCTCTGCTCTCCTTAATATTTGAAAAATTATACAAATTTTTAAAAAAAATTATGTGTAAATATGGATGTCAAAATTTGTATATTGTGAAAGCTTTAGGTGTTATAGGGTAATAAAAAAAAAATCAGAATGTGTTCGTCATAAGATTTTGCAGTAAAAAAATAAAAATAGAAATAAAAGGCAAAATTTTGTCCAGACACGCGCTGCTCATGTTTACAGCTCGATACACTTAGATATAGGCGAGCCGTGCTCGCGAAGCTATATACTCTTGGAATTATAAGTCATGTCGGGATGTTCTCCACCTCTAATCCGTCGATTTTTCGCCCTCTTTTTGCAAAAAGAATCGACATAAAAGATCTATGTACAAATCCAACTTTCCTGTCTAAATCACAAACCTGCCGGCATTCCATTCTGCGGGTTAGGTGCATGCATTGATGCTCCACCTATTCTTCCTCATTGATTTGAGATCTCGTGAGATTCATCCCATCTAAAGACTGCGTGGCAGGAAGTGCAACCCTAAGTCCTTCGGGGTGTTGTAAATGTCACACAGCATGCAGAGACTTCTAAGAACGATCATGGAATTGACAAGGTGAGCCCTGCCCTGTCTGAACGGTGAGCTCCAGATGTTATCTAGCTAGCTTGCACTATGATGGTCTAAACCATATGATTATATATTTAATTAATTCAGAAAGGGTTGAATTCTGGTTTACTGAACCAAACCTGCCAAATCTGCTTTATATCAACCCTTTGACTGCTGCTTCATCTCGAGCTGCCTTCTGGAATCAACTGCTCTATGTTCTCCATGTGGGTTGCAGTTCTAGGCCAAGGTTGAATGATTCCTTTGTGCATGGACGAATGATAGGGATCTTGGCAAGACATGCGGAGATGTTTGATTATCTTTTTCGTTTGTTGTTTCTGGTCTGAATGGAGATTCTTCTTCATTAGTCATTTGTTACTGTTGTCTCGATTCCTCTATTATATAAAAGAGCTTGTCAATTCACTTCCTCAAAGTACCATAAATTAACTCGAGATATCAACTCAAGTAGAACTGTAAAAGGATCCAATAATATGACTAACTATTCATTTATGGGTGTGTTTGATAATTACATTCAGTGATGAAGATCTAGCTTCTTGGAATATATTGTTTTTTGATAACTTCTAATTACGCTGAACTTAATCGATTATTTCAAGTCGAAAATGACTTAATGATCTACTTGGTTGGTTGAGCAATAAGATATTCTATCTAAATTAACATTTTATCAATTATATTGTCGAAAACCTTCCAATTAAGTTCATTGTTCCATGTTTGATTAAAAGCCGGTAGGATTTGTTATTTAATCTATTATCGGATAACTTTTTATCTTCATTCCGACCCAAAAAAAATTTATCTTCATTTTCAATATTTAGATACAACACTTAATATTCAATAGTTAATTTTTCTCTACTTATTTTTCAGTTTTATTAAATGAGCCCTAAGTGATCCGTGGATCCATTAATCTATACTATTAGTGTGGCAAATATGGCCACTTCAACCTCAAACTTTAATAGATAATTCGATGAAAATCCATGCACATATGGAGAATACCCTATGACCACACATAACTATAGGTGGATACAATCGTGATTTACAATAACCAAGGTGATTGACAAATCTTACCTACTCAATTTAAATCATAATAATGTTCCACCAATCTCTCCTTTTTCCTTTAATAACAATTGAAATTATACTCAAAAGGTGAATCAACATCTTTACATACTAATTTGTTCTTTATTGATTTAATAACTCATTATTTCTCTTTATAGCAGCGCTTGCGCTATTTTTTCCAGTGTAAAAAAAAAAAAAAACGAAGCTCGAACCCTACATATTCAATAACTGCAAGAACCCAAAAGTAAAATTTCTCATGTCATTTTCTTCTCTCCTCTTGCTTATCCTTTTAATCCACTGAAACCTGAGCAAATCACATGAGTTACATCGACATCGATAAGGATGTTCTTGAGAAGATCTGTTTATCCTAGGAGATGTATATACCCTCTTGCCAATTTAAGTTTTTGGAGAAAACGATTTCCAAAACTTATCAATTAGGTTAAATTTTACGAAAGCATCGACCATTATTCAGGTACTTCACATTTTTATAGTTGTTTCTTAAAAGATTACTGTGAGATTAAAGCTATTATATATACTAAAGATGCACATCACATGAATTAGGGTTACTTTTAAGTACAACCATCTAGAAGATGCCATGAGAGAGAGGACTTGAAATTCAAGAGCAATCGTAAGCAAATGGAATGATGTAGACAAACACAGCCGTAGAAGACACAAACATTCTCAGTTTCTATTTTCCTCCGAGGACCATCGATATGCTGACAAACTTTTGACATAGCAAGTGATGCTCTCATTCTCTTTTACCTTTCCATACACATGCGCTCATATATGCCAAAGTAGACATGATGATGATGGCGAGTGTTTCCATATCAGATCTGCCTTTCTAGAATGAAAAGAGAAAAAAAAGCATTCTCCATCATGATGGAGAAGAAATGAAGCATTCCCTATCATTACTGCAATTATGTTCCCTCTAGGAAAAATGCTGGTCGATCTATATACTTGATTCTGTATACCATGATTTGGCGGCATTTAGAAAATTGTAACGGCTTAATGCTTAGGTGACATCCTGGATTAGTTTTCGCATATCAAATCAGGTTTTACTTCTCCGGTCCGATTGAAAACAGGTCATTCGCGTTGAAAGTAAGGAAATTCGTAAGGAGTTTCTCTTTTGTGGCATGAACCCAAGAGATTGCGCCAAGTGGGAACCGCCCCCGACGCTTCTTGCTTGACGGACTGGCCCCGTGTTAAAGTCCACAACATTTCGTCAAACCTAGAGCAATAATGAACTGTGTGCTTCTCTTGGCGTTGTCAACGGAGATAAGCATTGAACGATTAGGTTTTATACAAACGTTTACTTTTCCGGCTACCAAGCCAAACTATTACCGTCTGGCAGAGAAGGGGATGAAGAGGATTAATCAGACAAAAGTTTAGACGGTGGTTGGGTCGTAAGTCGAAGATTAATCAAGAGAGATTTGCCAATGGCATGATGAACTAGGGAAGCTTCGTGACGGTATCAATCCTACTTTCAGCACTTTCTGATGCGTGATGAGAACGGTGGAATCAATCCCGAGGACGCACGAAACGTTAAAAAAAGCCAAAACGAGGAAGCCCAAGTCCAAAGATTCCATTTGACTAGGACAAAGATAAAGCAGCTCGATGACAACCAATGGTTAAGCACACTCGTTCTTGATTAGGGGAAAACGGATAAAGTTTCACTCGTATAAGCGATTCTGAACACGGCAAAGTACTCGAAAGACAGGAAAAGAAAGCACAAGTGAGAACAGAACCGCTACCTTTTCGTATATCAAATGATGCAAAAGCTTGTCTCGCTCTTCTTTTGTCTCGCTCTTCCTAGGGCACGTTACTCACATGCCTATTATTAAAACGCTACGGAGAAAGAGAGAGAGGTCATTGTCTGCACTACGTAAAGCACGTCCTTTTCATCACCTCTTTTGTGAATTTGAGAGCATGTTCGATGAACGATGGACGCATTCAACAACGTGCATGTGAAAGCGCTCACATTTTCACACTAACTTGTAGCATCGTAGCGGGAGACCGTATACCTAACTCTTAGGCTAACGGTCCAAATTATATGGCGGGTGTATTACATCACATGGCTTGAAAAAGCCCTAGTCATTTCTGACCAAAAAACAAGACAAAGCCCCAGTCATGGAGATGATATAAATTCATTCATTTAGCAAATGTCTAAATTTGGTCTCGGGCTTCTCTCTCCCATTTGGCATCCAAAAAAGTCCTCTTTCGCCTTTTTTCAATCAAAAAAAGGTTGATGTGAATATATCTTGTCCGAGGCCTTGTTGTCATTGAGCTTCTGAGCTGAAAGGCATGACATGATTTGTCTGCAAGTTGACAGCAACAGTGTTCTTTCCAAACGGTCCTCGATCATACCAAAATGATGCGATTTTACAACACGGTCGCTTATTCACCACAAAAAATGAATCTCTTAATTCTCGACAATTCTGAAATACTCGAGTGTTGCGATACTCTATATGAAACCACGATGAAATAACCTTGCTTACGGTGCGTTCCGCTCAGGTCCTTCGATCTTATCTCCCTCTTTGGTCGCCTATCTTCGTGACTATTTTAATACTGATGAAGTACAGGTAGATGCAGTGACTTCTTTGCATGATGATAAATAATTATGTGTGAACTTTCTTGCTCATTGAATTTGGGAGAAGAGTAAGTGCGGAACACGGCAACAACAAAGATTGATTAAAGTTCATATTGAGGGGTGGGTCCAAAAGTAGGCACCGTCCTTTATTGACATTGAGAGCGATAGGAGAATGATTTATATGCCTTTTCTTCTCTGTTTTTTTTAATCCACGGCCTCGACTATTCAATTCCTAGGTTGCATATAAATTCTCTCGCCAATTAATGCGGCCGATAACTTTTTATCCTCATCTTGACTTGGTTCATGGTATTGCTTTACCATTTTTCGAGGACTGATCTTTATATCCAAAGCTAGCTCACAGCCACAAAGTTATATTAGCACACAACATTGCACATGCCCTAGGGCTTCTTTTGTTTAATTAACCTATCTTAGCCTTAAACCATGTGTGCTTAGTTGAGCGATTATACAAACGTATGCTCGTCACTGTATCGACGAAGATCTAAATCCTTTTCCTCTACATAATTTGATTAGTTGAGCAAAAGATCAAGTAGCTAGCTGTTTAAGATTCAGACTAATTGAATCTTTTATGGACTTGTAAAAAAAAATTAGTAATTGTATACACATAAGGTCATCACCGTATCGACAAAGTCACGAAGATGTAAATCTTCTTCGTTGACATATCTCGATTAGTTGAGCAAAAGATCAAGTAGCTGCCTCATATTCAAGCTAATTGAAAGGAGTCATTCATTATATAATCACCATGAACTTATCAACTAGCTAACTTATATGTGCGTGCAGAACAAAGTTGTTGATTCTTTTTTTTTTTTGGACTGGCCCTCATTATGTAGGTCAGTTGTTCGAGACAAATTGACTTAAATCATACATTATCGTGTTATGCCCGCAGAGATCGTGCTTAGAATTTGTCGAATTTCCTTTAGAGTATTAGAACTTGACCTTTGGTGGGTACTCAACGCTAAATGTTCGTTTCCATATCAGATTTAAAATCATTAAGCTAATCAATGCGCTCAAGTTTTTTAAATCAATCTAACCAAACTTCAGCCCTAAGACCCAATCACTGTGAAAGACAAAGCAAAGAGTCAAACTAAGAGAACCCATCTCTTTTTAGTTTTACCTATGCTCTAATAAGAGCAAGTTTCAAACACTAGACAATATATCCTAAGAAACAAGAAAATAACCAAAAAAGAAAAAGAGTTCAATTCAAGTTTCAAAGGAGGTGGGGCTAGCTATGCTTTGCGTCTACAGTACGTATCGTGTGTGTTATGTAATTCCACGTACAACTATAGAATAGATAGATAATGAAGACCTTTCTGCATGTACCAAATGCTAGAAGTCTAAGGTCTTAGACTGGCCCATTATTTCGCACTTAAGGTGTTAAGAGAGAATTCTTATATTCGGGGTCCAAAAAGTCTTACCCGCATTTATATGCCATGTCGACCAGACTAAAGTCATTCCAAAATGAGCATTTTGCTGATCATGACGAACCCAGGTGCTGAAATGAGAAGGTCTCGGAAAAGCGAGGTCCGGCGGTACAACAAGTCCGCAGTTCCCCGGCTCCGGTGGACACCGGAGCTCCACGATCATTTTGTCGAGGCCGTGGAGCGGCTCGGAGGAAAATACAGTGAGCTTCCGAACTGTGATCTTGTCTATATGAGAGGGACTCTCCAGGAGAGGACATCATACGCATGATCGAATTTTTGCTTTCGGGGACATAAACTGAAAAGATGCAATTTGGTTTCTTTTTGTGAGTGTGTCTGTGTGTGAGAGAGATCGATACAGTGATTTTTTCTTTCTGTTTTTTTTTTTCTGAGCAGACGCGACACCGAAGCGAATTCTGCAGATGATGAGCGTAGAAGGACTGAAGATTTCTCATGTCAAGAGTCACCTTCAGGTATAGATTTTCTGGTTTTCCCGTTCTTTAAAAGGTTGAAAAAAAGGTAACAGTGTCATAAAGAGCCACAAGATCAGGAAAGAAAAGCTTCATCAACTGTACAATGATTACCGATATAAGAACTTTAGGGTTCTAGAGAATTAATCATTCTCTCAACTGGTGTCAGAAAGCATGCGAACGTGGTTCCTATGGATACTTTTCTCTCTCGCCCTGAGATTGTGGTGGATCTTTTTGCTTATTACTTTTCTGATCTTTTTAGGACGACAAACGAAAGATGCATCACTTTCGAGCAGAAAAAGAAACCCTAGGGAGAGCTCATCATATATTGCATCAGTTGTTTCATTCTACGTATGCCCTACATGTTTTCTGTTTCCTTTTTCGTTTAGATGCAACGCATGTTCTGCTCACTACTTCCAAATTTGGCGACAGTTACAAATTGACCTCATAAAAAACAGATGGAAATCGACTGCGTGAGTGGATCAATTTCATTCTCTGCACTGAAAATTAAAAATCGGAAATAGATTCAGCCTTTTTCTAGTTAATCATGTATATATATACCTCTGTTAACTACATGGATCATTCGTTAGAAGCCCTAAGTTCGCATATGCCTTATCATCATCTCATACATTACAAGTGGATATAGCCAAGAGTTAGTACTACTAGAGAGATAACTAATATTAATTGACAGGACTTAATGCACATATAAGCTTTTGTCGCCATGTATTACCTAATGTACAAAGCCCTATTTTTGTTGTATTTGCATCACAAAAAGGCATGACTCATGGTCACCATTAAGGATACATATGTTCATGTAGGTTTTTGGGAGCCAATATCAATATTGTTTAGTATTCTAGCTACTATTAGACGCCCCATTTGCAACAGATTATAGCCTCATTGCCTCAAATTTCCTCTTGTACGCTCTTCGTATGGATTGAGCTATTCTTTGTGGACATCTTCTCTACATCTGAGGGTAGTCTACTCACTAAATTAGTGAACTTTACAAGGTTGATGAAGCACAAAAAGAAGAGGAATTCTTACTTGGTCACAACAAAAGTATTCACGACTGTTGACATGTAGTTCATCGTATTGTTCAATATATTTTCTTATGGTGTTAAGTCTGCTTTTTGGAGCGTTGAGGTGGTGTTTAGACCAACTTTCGTGCTCTTAATATGTTAAAAGTATAGAACTAACTAAATAAAGCAATCACGCACATAAAAGTATAGAAACAACTCGGGTATATTATACTATGTAAACTTATGCTCAACGTAGGGTAATTCACTTCTTTACATCTGTGCTGTCCTTTCGGATATACTTAATTTGTTTGAATGATGTGACTGCGTTTCTGTTTTCCCTCTTTTATCTTACTAAACTTGAATACTCTCTAACAAGTGATCTTTGATTGTCGAATTTCCAATATCATCTAACTCTATCATGTGTATTCATTTATATATCTTACTAAAATGTCGTGAATACAGAGAGAATCGTTGGTCATTATTCGTTATGAAAGCCATGCTAGAGAATTCCCTACAAACCCAAGAGTTCTTTAATAATGCAGTATCAAAGTACAAAGCTCCTAGTTGTCGATCAAGGTTGACGAAAATTTTTATCAGTCGTGCCTTGAAAATTCTGAGCTCCCCCTGATTTATTCAGAACTACCAAACTGTGAGAATTCTTTGGGTGGACTCATCTTTAACATTGCTTACACGATGGATGACTTGATGATAACATAGTATTCATTGTGAGCTTCACGTGTATTTTTGTATAAAAAAAGCTTTGACAGCAAGTAGTAATACTTGGTGGCTACTTTGAGCTGCAGTGTGGATCCAAATCTTGTTAAATTAATTTGATGCAGTTTTATTTGATATGGATTAAGATCGTTGGTGAGTACATATGAGTGACTTATATGATCGGGTTTCATTTTATATTGATTGAAATCGTTTAGAGTATATATATCCAATGACTCTCTCTCTCTCTGTCTCTTAATATATGTACTGAAAAATCAATGGGGATGCAGATGTACAGAAGTTCCAGGGATGGTAGCAAAGTGGCTGGTGCAGTCCTTTGGCCATGGGAAGGCTCTCATGTTCATAGAGCAAATGATCAAGAAAATGATGAGCCTCAAATCATTTGCACCAACAGGTCAGCCTTTTTCTCTTTCTTTTAATTAGTACCATCATTTCCACTTAACTCTCCAATTATGTCTTCCATTTCTTCCAAAATCAAATGCTAAGTGCATGTACGTGTCCATTGAGTGGAATTTGCTCCATGTGCTTAGTCTCTTGCATGGGTTACAAAGAATCTTTAATCTTTCTAAACATGGTCCTTCCCTCTTAGAAAGTGACACATGTTGTTTTTTAGGGGCGGAACCCTCCCTTTCTTTTTTAAAAAATAAAATTTAACAGATAATTATGTCCATTGCCGTGCATCTACAAACTTTAATAAGAAAAGAATTTATGTCACTCGATCACATAGACTTGCGAAGGTATAATGTGGTTACAAGTATAGTTATATTCTAAGAGTAGTATTTTTTTTATAGCTATGTGAAAAGCACGCATGTTTGCTTACTAAAGTTTAGGAATAGACCGTGGAACAAAAAAAGAAAAGAACAGAAAATAAAATAAAATAAAAAACAAATTAGAATTTTTTTTTAAAAATTAAAATGTGGTTCATGTTAGTGCCAGCCATGCCACGTCGGATGGTTAGCGTCCACATTAGCGATTTCTGGCTAAAATTGATTGGAAGGACTAAATTAGCAAATCGTCAAAAGGTTTAAGACTAAATTAACAAATCTTCGATAGGTTTAGGACAAATTGACACATTGAAAGATTTATTACTAAATTGGCAAATTATCAAAAAATTTAGAACTAAATTGACACAATTGAAAGGTTGAGAATTGAATTGATCGCCGTACAATAGATTTAGGATTTTTGGACAATTATCCGCCTATATATCTTTTCACATTTTAGTAACGTTTTACCCTAAGCCAACACTAGTGGGTAGGTAAAGAATACCTAGGGGCGTGAAACAACTCTCTCTAAAAATATGAGCACAACAATGTTGAGATTAAGAAATCACATGAATTAACAAAATAATCACAATTTTTTACAATCATTTTTTTGGATAAACATGGCAAAACCTACACACGCTCGCTAAAAAAGTCGAATACATAAATTAGTTTTATATTAAAGAATGTTAGAACATGAGAGCAACTCAATCAATACGATGATAGAATTAGGGTATACGCATACGGTGAAAGATAGCTTATATAACCAAGTTAACGTATGCAACTTAATAAAGAAAATCACGCTGATATTACTGAAGATTTCGTGATTATTGAAATAATTAAGCTACATAGTACTTTATGATATATTAAAAAACTAGTCATACCAATACAAGGTGTGCATGACTATCATATACAGGAATGTTAATATGAGTGTGAAACTTCTGCATCAAAGTAAGTATAGAGAAAATACAGGATTAAGATGTGAGTGGATGTCAAATTTTCAAGAATGAGTATGGTGACATGAAATGCATAGATATGATTATTTTGATAAATGTGAAGTTATATAAACAACAGTCTACTTCAAAAGCTTAATCCACTAGAGTGCGGTGGGGAATATACTTATATCTTAACAAGTAATTTAATAGTATCTATCTAACTCATAATGACATCAAATGTCTAATATCAATTGCTGCTGAGGATACTGAGTTTGTATTTAACTCGTCAATAACTTAGCTCAAGCAAGGCCATGTGAAATATTGTCTGAGTGTTTGCTCTACTCTCTGCAGGGTGGTGGATGCAGAATGCTATGAATGGCCTTTGCAGACAGAGAAAGTGGATGATAATGAATACGAGGTTTTAGCTAGTTTCCATGTGTGTGTGTGTGTGTGTGTGTGTTGATAATCTTTCATTATTATGCAGAGGGCTAATCTTTCTCTGTTCTTGCTATGCAGGAGGCACAGACGTCAAGGGAGGAAGATGATGGTGAGGTAAGCGAGAATTGCGATCTCGCGCTTTCGTTCAATTCCTCGGTGACGATGCAATGTGTAGCGGCAGAAGATAAAGAGCCGTCATGGCCATTGATGGTTGACAATCACATCTTCCAGTTTGGTTCCGACGGCGGCGATCATCCTCCCGAAACCAGTCACTTGAACTTGGACTTAAGCATCTGAACAATTAAGGTTTCACCCCCCCTTACCAGCCTCAGCTAGTGTTAGAAGGATATAGGCATTATATTGAGACCTTAGCTCTCGTGTTAATAATCCTTTAGAGACATTGGCCTTCATATTGAGAGTGGTGGATTTATTAATTAGCCAATGTTCCATCCGTTCCAGTATTTTGTTCTGTATGTATGTGGACGCCCAGAGTTACCTATGTTTATTGATGGACAGAAGAAGTTTTATTTGCTCCATCTCGACATCGATTGTTCATTTCATTGTGTCTCCATAACATGCTCCGATCTCGTCTTCGGACCGGTAAAAACCAAAGTAGGATGGTACTTTATTCAAGCCACTGGGACTGAACTTGAGAGTTCAGGAATTTAGGCCTGATCTCATCTTCAAGCTTGAATGGTTCATTGCCAAAAACTATAAGGGTTAATACCACGAAAAATCTCAAACTGGTACATCTGTGATAAATTTATCCCAAACTATTTTGTTGACCACGAAAAATCCCAAATTGGTACACTTGTGATAATTTTACCCCAAACTATTTTTTTGACCACCAAAAGCCCCATATTAGTACATCTGTGATAATTTTACCCAAAACTAATTTTTTGACCACCAAAAACCCCAAACTGCTATACCTGTGACAAAATTTACCATCTGTTAGTTTCCTTTAAATTTTACTATCAAATTGCTAAGTTTGATAACACGTGATAGTTGATGAGTGTACCAGTTTAGGGTTTTACCCCTCTGTTTGTCACAAATTTACTAATTTGTGATTTTTTGTAATATTTAATTCAATTTCACGGATACTAACAGAAGGTAAATTTGTCACAAATGTAGCAGTTTGAGATTTTTAATGGTCAAAAAATTAGTTTGGGGTAAAATTATCATACGTATACCAGTTTACAATTTTTGGTGATAAAAAAATTAATTCATGGTAAGATTATCACAAGTATACCAGTATTGGGTTTTTGGTGGTCAAAAAAATAATTTGGGGTAAATTTATCACGTGTGTACCAGTTTAGGATTTTTTGGGATCAAAAAATTAATTCAAGATAAAATTGTCACATGTGTATCAATTTAGGATTTTTCATGGTATTAACTCAAACTATAAATGGAGTTTATATCTAGAGAGAAGCAATTGACAAAGCCAGCAAAATCGCAATCTTAAAATTGATGAGCCTGGATTGGGACCGAACCTGAATTCGGGAATACATATTCGGCAGGTGGTCTCTTAACCTCGGCCAAAGCGACGTCTACACAGGCCCTGTTTGGTTCAGCATTTGAAATGCTCATTTGAACTCTAAAGTCCTTTGGCAAAATGCAAATGGTGTTTGACAACTTTTTTTACTCACTTTGGAAAGATGCAATTGCATTTGGAATGCTCTCTAAAGGAATTTTGGCCAATGCAAGGGTTGAGGTGCTTTGGGAAGTTGCATTTTCGGAATGCAACTTGCACTGTTCATCGCGATTGTTCATCTTCCCCAAAGGCAGGTCCAGCGGCCGACGACCGCCGCTTGAGGGCTAACCCGACCCTGGCGACCACCGCCTGAGGGTCACGTGGCCCCGGCAACCAGATCTGGCCGTCGATAGTTGGCCGGCGACTAGATCTGGCCGGCGGCGGTAGCCGGTGGTTAAGCTCCGCCAGAGTTTTTTTTTTTTTTTTAAATATTAGCAAAAGTCTTTTAGCCCAAATTGATTTTAAAAAATATTTTATCAAACACTACTTGCATTTCGGAAAACCCCTTTAGCCCAAAGATATTTCCATAAGGTGGACAGTATTTGGGTAAACGCACGTAAGGTTCAGGTAGAAGAACCCACCAGTAATTGCATTGATCTCGAGCAACTTCATCTCCATTCAAATCCAAATAAATAAGCACTTTACACTATATACATCCAATTCAGAAGTGGAACTCAGGATGCAACCAAATGATTAAACTTCAGACAACGGAGATGCTGTTACAAGCAAGTCCATTATCCGAATTTCTCCATCTAACCTTAAGGGGTCCTGAACTCTTTTATCTTTCCCTCTCAATTTTTTACATGAGGGAAAGCCAGATATGAGTTGATCAACTATTTCTCTCCAATGGCTAGACCTGCAGAATACCTTATCCACCTTTTACTGCCTCTTTGCTATAGTCTTCTTCAATCCCTTGATGATCTTTCCGAACCACAATAAGTTCATCACAGTTAGCGCCAATGGTGCACCAAACACCAAGAATTTCCCAAGTGCATGCATCTCGTTGACCTGCGCAGAGACAGGCCATCTAGACTGATAAATGGTTTGAGAATTTTAGCATGGATATAACAAATGGCAGTCCACAACCAAGACCGCCACTATAAATATAAGATACAGAGTTTTTGAAAAAGAAAAAGAAAGGAAATTAAAGCATGTTATCTGCCAAGACATTAATTTACAAATGCAAAGTTCTTGCAACCAATAATTTTTCCACGGAGAAGACCAACCTTAGTGATTATTTCTAATGAAACTAAACAGATAAAGACTATGAGAGGTTATTACCTGATCTAAGTGCAAGTAGACATGGTAAAACATGTAGACAAATAGGAGAATTCTGGCGACCTGCACAGATGTAATAAGAGTGTCACGGAAGGTCAAACAATTACAAGATGCATAAAAGTTACTATAGCAAACAGAATCACTTTAACAATTTAGCAGACAGCAGTAGAGTGAAGTTACCAGCCAAGATAAGAATATGACAACACCGTTGATAAGATATGCTTTAGACTTCTTCATTCCAACCGTGTCAAGGTACCTGACCCAAAAAAGTGAAAGCTATAATTTAAGTGAAAAAAGGCCAGAAGCATTTATCAAATTCCCATTGTTTCAAATACCATCTCAAATTGATTCCAGGGGTTGTTGTCTCAGAGATGAGAACCATAAAGGTGTAGAGTTGTCCCTCACTGGTTAACATAGCATATGCCAATGATGCTATTGATAGGAGATGATGAATTACCTGTCACAGACAGTACCAATTTATCTATCAAATGCAATAAAGATAGTCAAAACCCAAGAATTTCTTCATACATGAGAAAATTGTACATGGAAGCTATGACAAGGAGTTATCAGACTCTCAATATAAAGCTGCATCCACCCAGAAGCAGAAAACGGTTGACACCAACTTGGGAGCATCACAATGATAAATGTAGAACACTGAAAACACTCAGGAAGTCTTATATGACTTCCACCTAAATTAAGAAGATAGTTTACTTACATACTCCATGCCACCTAGCGACGGATAAAACCAGAATATCATCCCAAGGTCGGTGAGAAAGTATCCAACAGAAACCTGCAAGTAAATACATAGTAAAGCCACACGGCAACAATTCAGATTACTGAATTAAAAGGCATTGCAGTAAACCTTGCAGTAGTGGATATATTTCAAAATGGCTATGTCTTTAGTTTTCATTACTGTATTGACGATACAATGGAACTGCATAGCATTAACTCCAAAGTACATGCCAGTTGCCAAGTGAACCTATTATCAGGCATATGAGCATCATTTCTTCTTCCCTACGGATTAATCCTATTGAATTAACGTTTTCCACAGTGCAGCAAAACAAGATAGAGATGCACTGTGCTAAAGAGAGAAGCCTACGAAACAGAATACGCATAAAAATGGGGAAAGAGAAAAAAGAAAGTAATCAACTTAAAAGGCTACTGACAAGCTTCCCTTTCTACAGTGTAAAATAGTAAGGTATAGTTACAGGCACAACAATTTTTATGGTCAAACCAAAAGCAAACCATACATTAAGAGACTATCCACAACCAAAGTAAAACTACAGAAGAAAAATGCTAAGATATTTAACGTTAACACTAAGGATCAAAGATTGGATGCAGTCAACTTGAATTCAATTATTTCTTCACAAGCCTTTAGTCACTGTAAATTCTAAAGCTCCAAATTTCATCCAAAGGTTTTTCACTTTATATAAAAGAAAACCTAAACCAGTTACATAGTCTCCATATTTTAAGCGCTGCCTCTTATTCTACATCACAAGTGCCCTAAGCTCATCAAAACCTGGGAAACTAACAAAAGAAGAGAGTACACTTTTAGGCATCCGAGAGTCTGTAACTTAACTTCAGCAAAGAAGAGTCTGTAACTTGATGTTGATATCCTAAAACTTTGAAGGCGCAGGCACCCTAAAACTTTGAAGGCGTAGGCTACCAGTAGGCATCCAAAATACGTCACCGTTTATACTTGCCACACAGAAATACTCCCCAATCCTTTTGCATCAGCTAACAACATGACTCACTGAGTTTTTTTCCCCGCCAGGTAAGAAGTAGAAGGTATGGGGGCGGAAAAATGGGAGTGGAACCCGAGACTTTCCTCGATTCTTTATAAGGGTAGACTATCACTAGATCAAAAATCTGTTTCATCCATCAATACCGGTACCAAAGAGGAAACTACAGCATCACTTACACATACTTAAGCTACGCAAGAAAAGTTGCAGCCAAAAATTAACTCAAACAGCAAAAACGTTTGAAGAGGTAAAACACTGAAGGCATCCTCACCCCTAATATGGAGGTGGACAGTGAAGAACTTCGAAACGTAATGAGGTCATTGAGTTGGTAATCAGCATACATATCTGACCAGAATACCAAATATAGTGACAGAACAGTGATGAAAATCGCATGAACAGTTGATATGGCCCTGCAAAAGTTACACGTGTGAGAAACTCCGTGTTATGAAATATAAAAGAAAAGGCTGACAGAAGAAAATTATTCAATCACCGATTATTCCACTCAACGCGCTTTATGTAAGAAAGGCTTGGATAGCTCTTGAAATTCAGCGCACTAATCAACTGTGTGAGGTCATAGACCTGATTTGAACAATCAAAACAGAACCATATTAAAAAAATAACAAAAGATAAATAATCAAAAGGAAATTTGCTAACTTTGACAATTCCTTGCCTTGGGGCAAAAACACCAGCATGATAATAATTATAATGTAGGAAGCAACATGATGGGACTAGTACTACATGTCCCCGCATGGCAATACTAGTAAAGGAAATTGTGAACCTACCATTTTGCAAGCAAGAATCCCACCGACAATAGATGTGTAAGGAACGAAAGGATCTGCAAGCATGTACTCCTTCAGCAGATGTTCAGCCTGATTTTGATAATAACTAACTGCCATTGCCCTGCTTTTTCTGTCCAGAAAAGCGTCAAATTCTGTGCCGACCAGACTATCTCTGCTGTTTTATTCTTCTATCCTCTTTCTCTATGGTTCTCTGAAAAAAAAAAGGAGGATGAGTGACAAAGAAGAAACAGCAATCAGAAGTCACTTAGATAAGTCTAACTGAAATGGTGCAAATTCTAACTCCAGCACCACTTGATCTGTCAATTGCCAGAAAAATCGATTATTGGAATCTCATGTCCAGAGGACAACAATGAACATCACAAATATCACACAGATTGGGACCAATATGGTCAAATAAGAAGAAAAGTATACACTGAACGATTTCTTCACAACATAATTCAGGCATCATATGCTAGCCTTGTTTCCATCTAAAGTATCTTCATTCCTTGAAAAAGCAACAGCAATTTAAAGACACAGAATTATTGACAATTGAAATTAGGATTCCGCCACCAGTGTAAAAAAGTTTTTAAATATTCATCTTTGGAAGATAGTCATGTGTAGTTGGAGATAAAGAAATAGCTAAAATTCTTCCATACGTAAATCATCTAACGATGAATATATAACTCAGTTTTTACACTGGCAATGGACCTAATATAAATCCATAAAATATTGATAAAATGCTTCCACACATTGCAAAAGAAGCTGAGAAAGTGCTACCATCAGAGATTTGCAAAAATTATGGCCAAACCAGATTAGTTGAGCTTCTTTTTTCATGATAGTCCGCAAGTATTTGTATTGCTGGTAAATTCTTGAAACTCAGAGAAATAATAAGAGCATTATATACTAAAGCCCAACTCTGGGCATTAGGAGTACTTCCAATTGACGACTAACAAACCACAAAATGACAGGGAAAACATGGTGACAATCGACAAGGTTGCTTCCTGTCAAAAGATAAGAAAAATCAACCACGAAAGTATAATGCTTGAAGTAACCTGCCTGAACTACTCATCAATTACAGCCAGAAAAAAACAGTTCTCGTCTCAGTCTGCAGTAAGATGCTTCTAAAACTAATAAATGGATGCATCCCTGTTCCCAAGAGACTCAATTACAGAAAGAGAAGCAAACTCGGACCAACACTTCAAGCTTTAAACACCCCCGACCACCCCCTCCCCCTCCCCCTCGCCCACCCACCCCCCCCCCCAAATAAAAAGCAGGCAAAAACAGTCCAGCTTTGAAAAGCACAAAACTTGACATCTTAAAGCAATAAGTAAACATAGTTGAATGCTCGCATGGTTCAATACTCTGAAAATAAGCAACAGCAAGCACACCACATTGCTCCTTCAAAAGCCGATAACCCATACCGCGCACCCCCGGAACCTTGCATGTATGTCTACCGTCACGACTATCGACTCGTTACAGAGCAAACCCAATGTCCCTACGGCCATCACAGAGGAGCGAATCAATACGGCCAACGGCACACACAGCACAAGACCCCCATCCGAATGCCAAAACAAAAAAGCCCCACGAACAAAAGCTTCTCCGGGTTTCAGCCGCCCCCCGGAACGCGAAAAATTCGAAACGACAACGAGCAAGACACTGCCCACCACCATGACACGCAAAGGAGGAGACACCAGAGCGATCACGGAGACCATCAAGCACGGCCCTTTCCCGCGACCCATCACGCCAGGGACAGAAACGAACCTCGAAAGCACGACGGCGACCCCGTAACGGACGAACCACAACAGCGCGCGCGCGCGCGCGAGGAGGAGGAAAAGAGACCCCTTCGGCGATCGAGCTCTCACCGGCAATCGGAGAAGCTCCGACGGAGGGCGATCGTCGTCGTCGTCGGCGAGCGAGCGAGGGAGAAGATTCTGGGTGAGGGAGACAGCGAGGTTTCCAAGGGAGTGTGCACGCAACCCACCACCACCACCACCACCACCACCATGAATGACCAAGATGCCTTCCCTTCCTTTTCCCTTCTATTTACGTTGTCCTTCCAGAAGAAGCAAAACCGCCTGAAAATTCACATGGAATTGAACTGAAATTTATAAATAAGTACGAAAAAAAGAAGAAGAAAAAACACAGAAAAAGGGATAAACCCTGAATTTTTTTAATAATAATAGTAAAACCGCAGGAGCGGGGAGGTGACGTGGCGGTCAAACGCGTCGCGTCAATGTCAGACTGGCCAATTAGAGGCCGACATTGGACGGAACCCGACCCCACCCCCCCGGCCTGTGTGCGTATGGCTCTTCTGATTTCTCGAATTAATTTACTAATCAACGAGGGGGATGTTCGCCCTAACACTAATAATCCCTTAACTTTAACTCATGCGTACAATATAATCTCTAAATTTTTAATTTATTCAAATAGTCCATGAACTTTTTGATAAATATTCAAATTAATTCATAAACTATATAATGTTCAATGATGTTATTCGATTGATTCAAATTTAAGAACAACATTGAGCATTTTCATATAGTTCATGGACTAAATTGAACACGTACAAAAAATTCAGGGACCGCATCGAACAAATTGAAAGTTCAGGGATCATATTACATATTGGGTTACAGTTCGGTAACCACATTGAATATATCAAAAGTTCAGAAATCACATTGCAAATTTAGCCAAAATTTAAAGACCATTTATGTCATTTTCCATACATGAGGCATAAAAAATTTAACCTGACGTCATAAATGCGCCCAATGCCCTATTTCCTAGATATCATATATCCGACAATACACTTTTTATGTAATTGTCCTTTTGTCCCCATGTTTTTTTTAATTATATTCTCGAATTATATTTGGTGAGTGAACATAAGTTCTCCTTAAATATTGTAAAAATGGAGAGAGAGCTCACGAAACAATGCATAAATATAATTTCTGGTTAACTAATATTTGAAAGGGTTTCGTTTGTGGCGATTTATATAATCTCCTGACTAGTTCGTAAAGGTTGCTTCGTTCAAAGACTTTCTTCCATATTAAGCATATGTCTGCCGTTGGAAGATTGGGAAAGCCATTGATTAGGCTGTTAGGAAGTCGAGAGACCGGACGGGAGTGCCGTACGACATTAGAATTAATTGGATCAAACAATGTTCGACAATGTAGGTTGCCTTTTAAAAGCAGTTAGAGGACCATAATTTTGTTGTGTATAATACAAGATACTTCAGCTTGCACTAAACGTAATGGACGTCACATTCTTCTAACAAAGATTCAACTTACCTTATAAAGGAAATGTCTTCCCCGTCTTCCCCAACAATTCGTAGGAATTGACAGCCGGAATCAATTTAAAACAATTGCGTGACCAAAATTTTGTTCGATGTTGGTTCTTATTATAAGATATAAAATATTGCAAAAAGAAAGAACAAAAATACAGTCATTACTTCCGACCATCAGTTTGCCTATCTAGCTTCGAGTGTTTGACTTTTAAAAAATATAGAAAAAAAAAACATTCACCAAAAGCGCTTAGAAGCTGTACAATAATACACCTTGTGTCATATCATGGCGACATGTGAATTTGCTATGCATTAATCCCACTCCATACGTCTCCACAGACATTAATTTTACCTTTCAAGACAGCGACGTTAGAGATTATCCGCGAGACACCCGATAACAAAATCTACTTAGACGGATTTGCTGGTACTCCTTTAATCATAATGAGATCGGGCATATATAAGCACGTGCGAGATCACGGGCCCCAAAAGAAAAAAACATAAAGAAGCATATGCAAGCCATCTAACGCCGCTACAACAGTCAACACCACTAATTAGAGTAAATCTACAAAGAGGGACCCGGTAATCTTTTTGCATGAATAGGACCTCCTTTGTATCAAATTGAAGTTATTTGCCTATTTTAAGATGGCCTTACTAATTATAATCAGATTTATACTTACTGGATATATTTGGTCAGCAAACTGTGTTCATTAGGTGGTTTGGTGGGCTAACCAGAAACAAAGGACTTACCTGTTTCTGTATGCGAAAAAGTCGAGAGATATTTCAGTGCATTTCGACGGTTTCCTGCGAGATATGCAGCTAATTTATGTTTTCAACATGCGGTGTAGCAACAACAATGTCGGTAAAAAGCTTTATAAATCATTGATTGTGTGAGACCTGCATGATCAATGACTACATAGAGCCAGTCTATGTAACCCAGGTCCGGTCAAGTCTCTCATCCGTTCATCCGGCGGACGCTGCTATAATGAAGGGATCCATTCAATGCGAAATCGCAAAGTACTGACAACACACTGCTTGAAAAAGGAGGTGGGAATTAATATGCAACGGTTTTCTTCCTCAGAAAAATACCAGCATCGTGTATGGAATCACCAGGTTCATGATCAAAGTTCCATATGATTCATCTACACCTCGACCTGAAAGTATTTATTAGTACAGAACATCCCACGAATTCTTATTACAAGTAACAACACATCCGAAATGCCAATCCATGGAGGACATGGACTACATCCTTTTCTGATGTAATTTGGTTCATATGAGGACAATGGCTAGAATCACTATTTCTCTTCTCCAGTCATTGACATTTCCTACATAATTTACAGGGCAAGCACTGTATTGCGAGGTATGTTTGGAGTTATCGCGTTTCCACACAGGCAAAGACTTTCGCTCTTCCAAATGAATGCTCTCTCTCCACTCAAATTCTTGCAAATTCTGAGGATGTACCAGCAAGAGAAGTTCACTTTTTCTTGTTCCTTTGTCTCGGAGAACATGAGGATGACGAAGCGGGGAACCGACCGGATCTCTTGTTCTCGGCCATGTCCTTGCAAACGGCCTTCTGGACCTCATCCTTCAGTTCCATGAAACGCATCTTTTTACTTCTCTTCTCTTCAGCTGTGCCTTTTTCAAGGAAGAAATCATCGGGAACCTCATCCAGAAAGTTGTCGAGAACTTCAGAGCAATGAGGGAAATAGCGACGACCCATTTCCACTGCAATCAACGAAATTTCAATGAGCCGTCGATGTTATAATGACTAACGACCTTATTTTAGTTATAGGAATCAGCAGACTAGAATTTCCAGATTGTCCCAAGGCTTCTAGTCCAGTCCACACCTACATCATCCCGCTGAACACTAACATAATCCTTCAAAGTTTAGATTTCTCAGGTAAAAAGCCTGGTGCAGAAGCTTTTAGTGCTTTTTATGGTGCTTATTGGGAAGCAAAACAGTTGTCTATCAGCATTAGTGACAGCTTACAAACTAAGAGCCACAGGCCAGAGAAATCCAGAGAAATGCTTTGGGCTGGTTATGTTCATAAGACGTGGATATTCACATCTGCGTGAGCATGTACACTGAATTCCAAATCATTTGCGTACATCATCCAGGGATTAGTAAGAAACCGATCCACAAAAAATAAACTTGAACACAGACATCTTGATATGCCTAAAATCTCAGAATTTTATTGTCAGCAATGGTGGCTTTTTAATATAATATCTGATTATGCAGTGGTAGTTGTGCAATAACATGTCAACCTAGGGACTGGTGAGTGAGACTTTACATTGAGATGAAAAGTACAGCACCGTTCGCAAGGCCAAATTCAAGCCATTTAGTGTCAATACATGATAAATTGGCGGATAGCCCTTAGCCTTGCTAGAAAAATGATAATCCAAGAAACAAGATTGGCTGATATTTGAAGTACTATTGTCGAGGATCTACGATTGAAAGCATTCTCATTGGGATTACACCGCTCGTAGAGGCAGGGGAAATGGGAAGGGCCATACTTCCAGTAGAGAGACGACAAAAAAAGTTTGGTACCCGAGTAATTGCATTGAGTTTTGAAAGCTATTTGCCAAATTATCAGCAACAGCCTCATTAGTCCACTAAGACCACTCAAGTGTTGCTCTAGATCATGTCATTCAGGAAACAAAGATAGTGGACATCTTTTTAGGCTCCATATACTCAACAATTTCATGCGTTTGTGTGAGCTTAGAACATAAAAGGTCACAAATCGACAAACCAGTTCGTACCTGTTTTACGCAGTGCTTGAAGCTTCAATTGGAGTCCGTTAGCATGGAAAGCAGGGGCTTCATTCAAATCAACCTCCTTGAAATTCCCATGTAAGCTTTTTGATGCTAAACCTTTATACAATGAGGTCCACTCTGCATCTGCAATCTCCATAGCTAGCTTGGCTTCAGCAGGAAAAAACGTCCCTGCAAATGCCACTGCCACAATGAAACCAAGAAGTGATTAAAACAAGGCAGATAGAACATCCAGTATTCTCTCAGATAACCAAATCTATATTTGCAAACCGACGACGTGGGTGCCAGGGCAATGATTCACAACCGGAAGACTGTACTGAAAGTTCCACAATGTCCATGGAGTTAGTGTTGGGCCACACATGCAAACTCAAAGAGATTTATTCTGAGTTATCTTGGAAGATAAGAGTAGCTTTTCTCTGACGAATTTGTGAAGGTATTATGCTGCTGCTATTGATAGAAAACAGGAAAACACTTAGGATCACAAGAAGTGAGTGGCATAGAGAAGCACATAATCCCCTCAATAAGATGCTTCCATTAAGTTAATGGCAACGACATTGAACCTAGTTTGGGTACACACATTATTTTTTCATGAAGTTAGTGGGTGCATTTTATGCACCTAATATTTACCGGCATAAGGTGAGGTTCCTCAAAATCCAAAAAGGAAAGCAAAACGTGCCAAAGAAATAAAGACCAACTCGAGAAAAAATAGTAAAAAATTCTGCACTCAGGTTTACCTCTGCTAACCAGGTACTCAAGCCTCATAATGTCATCATGTGTTGCATCTGTTGAAACTGACTTGTAATTAGACATGTACCCAGCCTCTGAAATACGTTGCATCTCCCTTTCAAGGACATCAATGCATATTCGGTCTTTGTTAGATTCCTGCCCCTGTTTTGTCTCCTGGTTATAATCCTTGGGCCTCGTCGATCTCCGACAAATTGTAACAGCTGTTTGACCATCTGGCGTGCTTTCCATTGCACAGGCACCCTTATTCAGCAGAGGTATTAAAATATTCGGCGCCTTTCGCCTCGCAGCCACATGAAGTACTGTGTATCCTCGAGAATCCTTGAGCTTAAGATTGGCAAGTCCTAGACCAAGCACCTCCTTGAAAACCTTGGGATCACAGTAAGCAGTGGCATAGTGAAGAGCAAAAGCATCATTTAGAGTGACTTTCGATTCACTTAGGAGCCGCCTGACCAATTCGACGTCATCAGAGTCCAAAGCTCTGTGGATCTGCTTGATTCTCTTTTCCAGCAAGGGATCCACTTCAGTTACCATTGGTTTAGCAGCCTCACCAAATCCGTTACGTTGTACTTTTATTTTAGCGTACATCTCGAGAGGAAGCATTTTTTCTAACACAATACTGTCCATATCAGATCTTGCAACTTTTTCGATGCAGAATAAGAGAAGATTGTTCAACTGGAAGTCGAAAGCAACCACCAGTATGGGGATGACATCTTCCGCCGCGGCCTTCTCGACAAAGTAGAAAAGACGACGCTGCAAGAATATGGGTCGACCAAGCTTGATTAGATCTGCTAACAAACGACTGGCTGACATAGTTTCAAAAATGAATATATTCTCTGAATCCTGAATCAGTGTATTCAGCATTTGGCCTTACTTTCCTATTCTAGCCAGTCACTTGAAACTGGAGATTTAACATATAGTTTTCAGCGTAGCTTTTGTGAATAAAATTCACTGTCACAGAACGTTCCTTATGTCAGTTCCCCAACTAATTTGTCCTGATGTACATCCAACAATATAGCCATATACCCAAGATCATCTTATTAATTTGCAATTCGTCCCTACATAAATTACCAGAAGATCTAGACATGAAATTAGCTTTCGTATAGAAGCTACTGAAGAGCAGCCTGCGCACAGATCGGTAGGACATATTCGCAACAGTAATTAATCCAGGCAGCAAAAGGAAAAAATCAATCCAGACGCCTGAAATACCTGAATAAGCATCACAAACTCTGTTATCTGAAAAGTGGCCGAGGCATACATCAACTCCACGGCATACTTAATAGCAGGGAGGCACGCGTCATGCTCGCAACGGCTGTCCATGCATGTCGACACCTCCACTGGAAATACCTTGAGCCTTCCCGTGTACATGTAACTCAACAAAAGATTAAAAGCCTCAAATCCAACATGACCATTGCTTACCAACTCCGACAAGAGATACCTCGGTTTTCCTTCCCTTGCATTATCTCCATTTCCCTCCTTGAAAAGCTCGTGAAAAAACCGACTCCGAGCTGCCAACAAGCACCTGTGGACTCCCACAGAGATGCCCTCGACCACTATTTCCACGTCACTGTAGTTGTAATTGTCATCAACCAGTAGCTTGTCGAGACTATCGGCGAGCTTGCTCAAGCTCAGAAGATCAGGGTTATAGCCCGACTCTAGATTGATGGCCGGAGCCAACGCGTCGTGATCGGTAGACCCGTTCGACAAATAAGACGAGGACGAAGACAGTTCATTCCCATTTTCCATTTCTTCAAAGACCAGCCGTCGCTAATCACTCCTTCCAACAGTCTCAACACATCCAAGTCCCGTGATTTCTACCCACGAACGCCAAAAGGGTATCCGTAAAAGAACCTCTCGGAGACGCTAAGCAAATCCAGACGGCAACTTCATTTGCCCAAATTCTCCAGCGATCACGGACATCAAAAGCATCAGCGACGGACCCTTTGTCCCAACGAATCTCCTCAACGGCTTAAAAAACGGTTATCCGCTCATCACAAAAGAGAAAGACCGAGCAGCGACAAGAACAGGGGAGCTCGAATCACCTACTGAAGCAAGCAACTCCTCGCGCTCGGCGAGCGACAGAGATGGAGCCAAGAAACCTGCACGAAACCCCGGCCCTTCGAAACGGGAAGATCGCCCGGACCAAGGATCGGACGGAGGAACGGGAGGAAACCCAGTGACCCCGAGACGGCGGGGATTGCCGGGCACGAGCGCGTTGCTGAGGAGAGATGGGGAGACGCGAGCGCTCAAGTGGAGTGTGTGAATAGGGAAAAAGCAGGAGAGAGAGAGAGAGAGAGAGAGATGGGAGTGGTGGTGGTGGTGGTGGTGGTGGTGAACTGGTGATTGGGGAATCAGAAGAAAGTCAACAGAAGAAGAAGGGAGGAAGAAGGGGGCATCATTCCTCTCTTTTCAGCTCGAGTGCAAACGCGCTTGACTCAAGGAGAAGAAGGAGAGAGAGAAGAAGAAGAAGAAACCGACTTCGCCATCATCTCTACCTCGTCAAACAAGAGCAACGACCAATCAATCAGCACCAACTCTGCCCCGCTTCCCCTTTCCCTTTCTCTCACACAACGAATTGAGGGGACACGAAAAGGGTTCGCCATTTCGTACGAGACAAAAACAATCTGGATAATGATACAAACGGCCGGTGAATTTTGGCACGTTGCACGAGTAGGCCCCTAAAATTTTAATTTGTTCAACGTGGTTCTTAAACTTTAATCTTATATTCAATGTGAACTCTGAACTTTTAATTTATTCAATGTGATCTCTAAACTTTAACTTAATATTCAATGTGGTCCCTGAATTTTTAGTACATGTTCAATTTTAGCTTATGAATTAATTCATAGACTTCATTGAATATTTTTATATAATATTCAGGGAGTACATTGAACATTTATCAAAAGTCTATAGACGACATTGAATAAATTTAAAGTTGATGAATTTCATTGCATATTGAACCAAAATTCAGAGACCGTCTGTGTCATTATCCCAAAATAATATTATCCATAGACGAAAAAAAAAACACCCTTTTGCAAATTATATGCCATGATGGTGGCAAATTAAGAAAATGAAATTTGCATAACTTAGAAAAGGCAAATTTCATTGGAGATTTATATCGTAGATGGGTCGTTAATTTGATTGGTTATCTTGCGTCAATTTCAAGATATATATGTGTATGTACTAAAGTCTTTCGATCGAAGTGGCAACAGAAAAAAGAAAAAAAAATTGGCGCAAAGCGAAATCGACTCGTCTTTACATTTACAAACGCCAACAGCCAATTTCGCATTTTACAATGGTTTCTGTCTTCTTAAGACCCACCCATCCCCCGGACGATCGCTGCCGTTGAAACTCTCGTCCTGATCCGACGGACGCGCACGATCCGTGTCTCGTCGTCCGAGGAACAGGACCCCAACGACGCGCGCGCTTCACTCTTCACGCGCGGCGCTCCCGCCCCACCGCCCCTCGCGGACGTCGGCGACGAACTCCGCCGCAGCCGCCGCCGCCTCCTCGCCCTGCCCTCCCCTCGTCGTGTCCACCACCAGCCTCGGGACGCCGCCGAGGTCGTACTCCGTGCACCCGCCGTACGCCTCCAGGAGCCTCTCCATGTCCCGCCACGTGGCCGGCTTGTGCCAGCTCCCCCCGTCGCCGCGCCGCGCCTCCAGCCGCCGCCGCCACTCGGCCTCGTCCCCCGGCCTGCACTCGACGACCGCGACCCGGGCCCCGTGGGACGACGCCAGCCGGACCAGGCGGTCCAGGTGGGCCCGGCGGGAGAGGGGCGAGTCGACGACGACGGAGAGGCCGCCGGCGAGCTGGGTGGCGGCGACGGCGAAGACCACGTCGTAGGCGAGGTCGTTGAGGAGGCCGGGCGGGGTCTGGTGCCGCTGCTGGAGGGCGAGAGTGCAGTCGCGGACGTCGTCCTTGTCGAGGAGGGGGATCTTGAGGGCGGAGGACAGGGCGCGGGCGAGGGTGGACTTGCCGGTGCCCGGGTGGCCCTTCATGGCTACGACGATCGGCGTGTTGGGTCTGTGATTTTCTTGTTCCTCCGCCATCTTTCTTTGCTGAACCTCGATGGTGGCGTTTGCGAAGAGGAAGGTCATTGAAGTGATATGATCTTGACGATGGATTTGGATAAGTACGAGGAGGAGGAGGGGTTCGCAGGTCAGTGTCAGAGTGATGTGGCTCGTTGAAGGACAGAGTCAAAAAACACAGAGCAGGAAATATTATTCCACAGAAGATCTAGTTATTTTCATTTTGCCAAGGAAAAAGAATATCCATCTCGCTTACAAGAAGACGCCTCTCTCTCTTCTGGGTTCGACTTCCACTTTGAGAGTGAGGGAGGGTCCATGACTTTCCATGTCGTCCAGGACATTACAGCTGAAGTAATAGTAACAAGGGAATACAGACATTGCATCTTGTGGTGGGGGCGCTTAAGGCTTAAGGTTATTTCGGGCGGGATTTACACCAAAGCACGTGAACATCTATACATGAAAACGTTACTTCGACTCTTTGTTTATTGGGCTTGTCCCCCGTGCTTGCCGCGCTTGTGGAGGGAACGGGGTCAGATCTAGTGTCCTTTGGAAGGCAAGGGCACGAATCGGCGGTACTCTGCGAGGGCCCAGGTGGGGAAGATGTTCCGGTAGGCCGAGTAGTGCAGCATGCAGTTCCTCATGAAGACACCCATCAGCTCCTGTCAATGTAGAAGAAGCGTGTCAGCAGTTGAACTTGAGAAAGCAGCCCCGAGATATGAATGTCGCTGATCTTTGCGTTCATAGTTTCTCCGTTTGTACAGTTTAAATTTAAGGAGAGGAGACGTACCTGTTGAGGGAAATCGCCATCATCTAGTTGAGCGTTGATCAGGATCTTCGCGCCCCGGTGAATAGGTGTGGGATCTCTCTCAACCTAATCAAAGCATGGTCACATATGTCAATTTTCTTCTGGAGAACTGCAAAAAGTTTTATGACATTTCAATAACGGTTGATCAACTGACCTGTCCAGCATGGATCAAACCCATCATGGCCAGTGACGTATGTATCAAGTTTGTGTGACCAAGAGGCTTGTAAGACTGTCACAAAGAACAAAATGATCCAGTTAGTCATGGAGAAGTGATGGAACAAACTGTCCGAACACTGGGAAGAGGAGAGAGAAACAGAGACACATTACTAATGTAAAGAGGAAACTGATTGAAAACCACCTTTGTGGGGCATGAAAGGTAGCTCTCTCCCCAACCGCCATCTTCAAGCTGAGTGTTAAGCAGAAATTCAACCCCTCTGCGCACAGCTTCACAGTTTTCGTAAGTCCTGCCGACAGCCTCCAGGGCAACTAGCGCAAACCAAGTGCCATAGATGAAGCAAATGCCCCAATTGCCATACCTGCATAGGGGTTTGATTCAGTTTATCCCCGTTGGACCATTTCTAACCATGAACTGGTAAAAATTTCCCACATCTAATGATCTAGAGATAACACATACCACGAACCATCGGGCTTTTGAATGTCTAGAATGAACTGAGTAGCATTCACAATGAACTTGTCGATCTCCTTCTTCCTGTGCCCAGGGTGTAACTTCCTAAACAGAAGTAATGCCTGGATTGAAGATGAAGTACACTCCACGTACCTGTATCAAATTTAATTCATCATCAGAAAAAGTTTCGAAGCCAGAGACAATCCACAAAATATAGGGGTCTATATTTTACTTACTCGTATTCAATAACGAGGTCCTCAAGAAACTCCACCGGGTTAAGCCACTGAAGAAGAAACGAGTAGAAGATGGATTACTATCTGATAGCTAGGGAACTCCTAAGAAATTTGAAAAGAAAATTTAAGAAAGTCGAGCAAATACCTCTAGCCATGATCCAGCTCCTGATGGCTCCCAGGCTGACATACCACCATTCTTGCTCTGTACGATTTGTTGATGCTTATTAGCGACACTTACACATGTCCAATGTCCTCAGACAGAGGGCAATGGAGGATGAAGCAGAATTTTCTAATTTTCACACATGCTCCTCCCCCTTCTTAATAATAGATCAGTTGTCTATTGTAATGTAACTCATTGATTACCTGTAAAGAGAGGATAACATTGACAGCATCATACAGCTTCTCAGGTTCCATCTTTTGTCCAACAATTTCCGGCGGCATCATAGCGAAAAGTAGGCAACACTGGAATGAAAGAGAACTTGGTTAGGAATAGCCAATTGGATGAAGTCCGGTATTCAACCTGAACACTGAAGAAAAAAATGCTCACCTTCAAACTTTCTGCCGTGCAATCCGAAACTTGCCATCCATGATCTTTGTCCGAGAAAGCCCATGCTCCTTTGGAAATGTGACGGTACATTTTCTTTAAGTCGCCAGAGGGGTTTCGGTCAATCTTGTCGAATTACAGACAAACAGTTTCAGTTAAATTTATGAGGAACGAGAGAAGGTGAGTAAACTCCTCAACTGGATTGAAGAAATAGCTCAAGGACTAACACACACCTGAGATTCCTTCAGAAATTCATGTCCTTTCTTAAGGACAGGGCCAAATTCATCGATGAGATCGCTAGTAAGCACCGCTTGAAGGCTGAGACCACAATCCCACACTTGACTTCCAAAGCTCTGCGACAATTGGAAAGTGTTAAATTCTCGACAATTTGAGTGGCTCTTTTATGTTAAGAAGCCAAAAGGCTAAAGATTTGCTTTTTTAAGGACTCGTTTTCGGTAGCTATAAAGACAAACCTGCATCTTAATTCCATCTTCTCCAACCCAGACATAATCTGCGACTCTGGATAGATGCTTCTTAAAAGCTTCCCCATGTGGATCCTCGACCCAACAAGCAAGCATCATCAATGGCTGTTCAATTCAATTGGATAGCAGAGTGTTAGAAACACCGTACATGTCGTTGCGCATTAACTTATCAGAACCATTCAACTCTTTTATTCTTGGTACTGGCATTACCTTTTCCACGCAACCGATGGTAATGTATCTGCTGTTCTCATCCTCATAATGAATGTGCTCCATTGTTTTCTGAATGGCAATATCCCTAATCTTCTTGAATGGCCATCGGTTGAGAAGAGGCTCGGTGCCAAAGTAGAGAGTATCCCACATGAGGGTCTGCAATCTCGTGTGAGGATAGTGTGCATCTTCCTGAAACAACCGTCAAGAATCCTTTCAGAACCCGCGCGATTACATCACAATATGATCATTTAACAAAAAAGTGACCCGTCGAACTTACCGGTGCGCATAAGTGGCGGACTTTCCACCACGAGATTTGATCATAAGGTTCGTTGTAGATTTCTTCTCTGATTTGCTTGATGAGAGGGGTGATGGGACCGACAAACTTTCTCCCGTACAGATACGACATGGGCATGTAAGTCAGACGGCAGTAGCAGAACATTTGTGCTGCAATAGAGGTTCCGGCGCAAACAAAAGTCAGAACAAGCAAGCCTTGATAGAGATTACACGACAAGCCAATTCGGCATCAAACAGAGGAAACAGAATCCTCTGGTCAGAGGCAGAGTACAAGAAAAGCCCATTCGGGCATTAAGCCGAGCAAGTTGCTTACCTGGACTCATGAATGAAGGGAAGTCCCAAAACTCTGGGGGCATTGGGTGGGATCCAGCCCATTCATAACAACCAATGATCTACAAGAAAGATAACCAAAGTCCAACCGTTAATATCAAGAGCAATGCAGTTATGCATTTCGCGCGAACGGAACGAAATCGTGATCGAGCATTTGAAAGTACCGCGAGCCAAGTTTTGCCCCAGGAGGCGGTTTTGATGGCACCGCCGCGGTCGAGGATCCACTTCCTCCCTCTCTCGCAAGCATTGTCGAGTCCTCCATCGGGCCCTTCGCCGAGAAGGCGCATGCAGACGTAGTTGAGGACCGTCCCGATCATCGTACTGTGGCCTTCAATGTGGAGTCCCCAGCCACCATCTTCGTTCTGCGACACGCACACGCACACAAACCATTTTCAGCAAAATCCAGCTCAACGTAGTCACACAGTCGCAGCCCACATCTAACAGCTTCAACCTCGTATCGGTCTAAGGACGTTTCGACGTTACCTGATGGTAGTAAATGTAGCGGAGGATCTCCCGGCGGTGCTCGGCATGGAAGACGGTGTTCAGATGTCCGGTCACGTACAGACTCATGACCTGCAAAATCGCGAACCGCAGCTCCGATCATCACAACGTGCTATCAAAAAACGAAAGAAGAAGTGAAAAAAAAAAAAAGCTACGACGTCGCCGGCGCGAATCGGTCCGGTCGGAGAAATTCAAACCGGTCGACGGGGGTAATCACACCCACCAGGGGAGGGAAGTAGAAGGCGATGGGGCCGGCGTTCTCGGCGGGCCAGTGGCCATGGTCGGACTGCAGAACAGACCAGAAGCTGACGGCCCGCCGCACGGCGGCGGTCGCCTTCTCGTAGCTGATCTCCTCGCCGTCCTCGATCTTCACCGGAGGGGTCGTCTGCTTGAACTTCTTCTCCCTCAGGAACTGCAAACGGAAAAAGAAAAGAGAACAAAAAATCCCGCCAATTAAGTGGACGTCATTTATAGGAAAAAGGAAAAAGTCAAAAAAGTCAACGGGCGCACAAACGGACAAAAACAGGGGGCTCGATCTAGTTTTCTGGTGGGCCCCAGCAAAGGGCAGTCCCAAAATGAACAAACACGAAAAAGTAAGTAATATAACTGTAGGACCAAATCTTGACCGGCCGATGTCCTAAGATTCAACCCTAGTCCCAATAAAAAATCAAATCCTAAGCACATGAACAGCTTGGTGATCAAACGTGCGGTAAACAATCGAGAGATGTGTCCGGACTCCGGACCGTTTTTCTCGCCGCGCGCCCTTTCGGACCAAACCGATCAGGTGCCGGGTCGCATCATGTCCGGAGCAAGTGACATCGGAGGACCCGTCGCCGAATATAAAAAAAAAAAAAAAGAAAACCGCGCGAGGTCCGACCTGGGAATCTAATCTCAGTTCTCTAATGTCCGCACGTTCTTCCGTTGTCCCCCTGTTTCTGGGCCATGTTCAGAAGACAAGAGCATATATCCAGGAAGAGTTCAGAAGACGAGCATATATCCAGGAAGAACAAGGATTCCAAAAGGGTTACGGAGTTCTCGCACGAAGCGAAAACTGTCGGTTGGTGAAGGAGGGGAGAGGCGTACTTGGTCCCTTTTTCTTTTCTTGTGAACAAGAGGCCTGCTGCAGAAAGTCAAAAAGGTCGTGTCGTCGGACACGGACAGGACAAAAACGTCGGACTGCCGTGCACGACGATGCTTCGCGGGAAATTACCGAAGACACGCGATCCTTTTCACTTCTCGTTTTCTTAAGGATCATGGCAAAGTGATCGCGGATGCAAAAGGGGTGGAGCGAGGAAGTGGGTCAAGGGCTGCGACTGGAGCGATTGGTGAGCTTTTCATGCATGTTATGACTTTCGAGCAGTGTGGTGCAAAGTTGACTTTGAAAATTAGAGAACAAAGGGTTACGTGTCAAATCCACAGAGCAATTTCAATTTGACTTGCCATGCTACACTATTCGTTACTGATTTCCAAAACGCATGACACGACAAGAATGGATTAATATGATGATTTCTGGAGATATGGGTAATCGGGTTAAATACAGCTTGGCGAGCAATATACTGTCTTTTTCTTTCCGGTTGTTTACTGATGTGGGTAAACTACTGATGGAGCGAAATTGTTTTCTTTTTACGGCCTTCGATTTTTATCTATGAGACCGTCTAGGGTTTTACGAGTCAAAATCAAAGGGTCGAATTTTTCTAAGCTGGCGTGCAGACAAAGCCCGATAGATAAAGCTTTGTGGAAAATTTTCTAGATCGTCCGGCCATATGGTCAGATTCTTCCTTTCTTTAACCCTCGTATGCATGAGCCCATCGATTTACACGGCAGTAATTTCATGCATTTCACTCAAGATTCAAACCCTAAGGAAGGACAAATTAATCGTCGCGGAAACCGAGGACCCGTAAAATAAAAAAATGGCAACGTCTCGTTGGCCGTTGCTACAGTGGTACTGTAAGCAAAGGATGCGATACGATGTGTTACACATGTATGGTAAATTTATAATTATGTCTGTGGGGGATATTCATATTAATGATGCGAGGAGTCCAGGCTCCGATCGACTCTCGGCCATAGAAATTTTGGGGACCATACCATTTTTTGTTTTTCGGGCACGTTAGGGACCTAACCTGATGAGTGAATTAATGTGGACACATAAATGAAAGGATGTTATTGTTGTCTGAGATATCTTGGATAATTTTTCCGATAAAGTTTGGCCATCACCGCCTATATAGCTCATGCGTGGAGCCCAACAAAATTATTGAGTTCAACTGTATCGTCCCCCCGACCCACGCATATTGTGGCCAAGATAGATCAAGAAAAATAGAGAAGTGGTCCGTGGCTCATGAACAAATAAGGAGCGAGACATGTGGTTATGGTCACAATATACGAGCATTCATCCTTCTAAGTCATATTTCTCCGATCTGAGACCTCTGGATCTCGTTCGATGGAGCGGATCACAAGCCCAAGAACAACAGAACAGTGAAGATAGAAAAGGAAAGTCAAAGACGTAACCGAGGCGATCTAAAGATATGCACAAGGGTAGCTAGCTATCAAAGGTCTCGATCGTATTAACTTCTCAAGACTGGCCATGCATGTTACTATGTCGATATGCCAACAAAGAGAGAGAACGAAAGAAAAGGAAACTCCGCGGGGAGGTAAGCATCAAAACAGAAGATCTCTTTAATCGGAGATTACTACTGCTTATCACGTTTCAACACTAGTGAAGAAAGCAAATTTTCCAATCATTTGATGTGATCTCGTACTAATGAAACCAAAAGAAGGGCACAAACAAGTTGATGTGAATCACACGGTCTGTGAAATTCTTTTCGATGCTATTAGTGAATGGAAGGAAAGATTATTCGCCGATACGCGTCGTGGCGCTCAGATCGCCGTCGATGAAATGAAGGCGGCATGCGGCATGCGCACCGAGTGCCCACAAGAGAGAGAGGGAGAGAGTACATACCTGGAACCGCCAGAGGAGGTCGGAGCTGGGGCGGACCTTGAAGCGGTTGTTGTAGAAGTTCTGGCGGGCGGCCTCGACCTCGGCCCTTTCCTCGGGAGTCCCGGCCTCCGGGTCGAACTCCCATATCTGCCTCCCCACGAAGTTGTTCAGGCTGAACAGGTAGGGGTCGTTCGCTCCCTCTCCAATCTTAAGCTTCCACATCTTTACTTCTCTTGTGCTCCCTCAAAACTTTCCCGCCTACACACAAACACTCAAAACGATCAAACGCAACGTTCTCTAACCAGCTTAAGCAAAGAGCTTCTTCATGCACTTCCTCCATCTATCACGCACTTTTCTGTTTGACACACACACACACACAGGATCGAACGTACGAGTGAATAAGAACTAGGGTTCCGAGTGATCGAGCCGGAACTTGCTCTCAGCACGCCAACAGGAAAACGAGGGAGGAAAGCGAAGAGAGAGAAGGAGCCCTTGGTGGGTGTTGTGTCTGTGTGCGTGTGAGAGAGAGAGAGAGAGAGAGTTTGATGAGATAGCGAAGCTGGGGACGCACTCTTTATATAAGCGCGAACCACCGGGTCGAGCATCACGTGGCAAGGGCCGGCTCGGATCCCATTGGACGAGCGAGAACAGGTTATTACCAGACACGACATGGAATAAGGAGCGAACTGGCCTTTTGTCGCACTTTGGCAACTTTCGAGTTTTGTATTGAATAAAACCAAAGTATAGTAGCCTCTCGTTGAACAAAAGCTGCGATTTCAAAGAGGCAAAAAGGGTCGTTGGTGGCAACTAATAATTTGATAAAAACAAGAAAGGAATATAACGCAGGGAGTAAGAGCCACACGGAGGTTCTTGATGTGTATGATGCATGGAAAAAAAGGGTATTAGCGAGGGAAAAAAAAGCAATCTCAATTGTTTCCCCTTTCGTCATCTATTAGTCTTGTCCTTCGGGCTTTATATGTGTGGGGATTTATGCTCACTAGGATTTTCTGAATGTCCTCCCGTGATTAAGTCTTTCCTGTTTAGCGCGAGTGATGCTTTTCATGTTCCGAAACCAACTCGCTCGGTGCTCGTTAGGACATCCGGCTCAAAAATTTGAGTTAACGGGCTGAGAGAGAGAGACCGTACATGTATAAAGAGCGTATGGACCCCCGTGAATAAGTGACATGGGATGTAACGTCATATGAACTCCACAGACAAGCCATGCGGGACATGACAACCCCTTTCTCATGTACGAGCAAGATTAAGAATGGCTCGTGCAATTTGATCGAACGAGAGGACCCCGCATATGAAATAAATTGATATGAGACCTATCTCCAAGTCAATAGTCGAAAGTCCGACCTAAAAATTGCATTCAAATCACGTTGGTCCTATTTTTCTTCTTTTCCTTAAAACTCTTCTCGGCGGCCCTTGGCGCAACGACAGCCAGGCAAGCGGCACTTGCTTGGAAGCAAAGCTCGCAGATGATAGTAGACTCCACTTTAGCATATCATTCGAGACCGGAAAGGGTATCTATGTAATTGCACACGGGACAGATATCGTTATCTGGTGTGAATACATTGATCATCTGGCTTCTTTTTATTCTTTTTCTTTCCTTTTAAGCCCTCGACATATCATCAACTATACAGCCCTGTACACGCCGGCATGAATCGGGGCTGTTCGGAAATCATCTCCTTTGCATCTTCGTCCTCACGAGAAGATTTGATAGAAAAGTAAACGAAGAATTATGGGTTTGCCTAAGAAGACGGCCAATAAATATCGACCGCTCGGGTTGGGTGGATAAGTGAGGCCTTTATGTGACGGCTCTTGCAATCAATCACCCGGAAGTTTGACAAGATCGTAGCTAGGATGGTACAACATCTCGAACTAAACCGAGATTGTCGGTTCCGTAACACGTCGCATGCACACCGTGAAGTTCCAGGTCGCTTATCAAACCGAACGTTTTCGACGCGTAAATGTATCGCTGGTCGATTTTCTCATGCAACATGCGAACATCTTGTAAGATATAACCGGCACATCCGCTTCCTAGGGTAACTTCTTCGAGTTAGGGTGAGGGGGTTTTTAAGAACCTCGAACAGTTATTATGAGTTCAGTTTTGCCGATGGTATAAACCGATAGAGACCAGATCTCAACATAAATTCATTTGCATGACGATAAAACCTAAAAACCAAGGCAACCTTAATGCCGTAAAGAATTGCTCAAGGTTAGTCAATGGACGCATTGAAAACAGAAGTATTTCTCAATTAGCTATTCGACAAATGCCTTGGTGATACCCATTAAAAGTTTCTTTATTTTTTTAAATTAACTACGTACAAATCTCATTTTCAGTTATAGTGACATCTAATATTTTGCAATAATTGACAGAAAAAAAACGTGTTCAAGATCAAGTGCTGATGATGGAGATGAATCTTAGGCTCTTAATTAGATTACGGATCATATTTTTCTAAAGTTCTTTATTTAATGATATTTCATAAATTAAACATGACAAAATGCACACACACACACAAAAAAAAAAAGTCAGGTTGGGACCGTGAAAGTAATGGCTACCTTAGTTTTTTTTTTTTAACTAAATTCACTGACAAAAAATTAGGACCACGAAAGTCTCCATATGTCTAAAGTTGGAGGAAAAACATTGCCATTTGATGATCAAAGTCGTTTCTCGTTCTAAACAGGACATAAATTATAACGTATATAGGAGATTGATTCACAAAGTCAAATGAAATATTTATGATGGGTATCGAATACGACTCACCCCAAACTCTCACTTACAGTTATTATCATAACTCTTTGTAATCTTCTTTTAGTATATGGAGTACTATGTATATTATCGCATTTTCTGGTTCATATATGCTCTTTAAATCAGTCTTGCATGATGAAGAAACCAATATTTGGTGCACATAATGTGGAGCCGGTCATGTTACTTCCTAGTCGGAACCTACCACGCAACTGATGTTTTTCTTTCTAAAAAACAAAATTGTTTACTCAAACTCAACCATCAAATAAAAGAGTAGAGTCAACAGAAATTCTGCACTCACTTTTGGACCAAAATTTCTGATTAGAGTACCATTTTTACCATTAATTATTATAAATCAATAGAGGTAGTTGCCTTTTAGGCTTTAGACAAGTCCCGCACGCATTAATGCTCAAAAAATTGGAGTAGTGAATAAATCTAAGCATGATAATAATAAAAAAAAAATTAGACCGACTTTTGTGCAACAGCTGGTCGCGTGGAAATCTTATAAAATAAACTTTTATCTCTTTACCCTCGCTTTTATCTCACCTACTTTCCCAACTTGTTCTGCAATTAATTTCAATATTTCTTCTCAAAAAAACGACAGGTGAATTTTCTAACGATAACTCATGATGTTAGGGATTGGCTTAATGGTTAAGGAGCAAAATCATCTCATCCACCGATTAAGCGCGTGATGTACGCTTGATCGTCTACCGAGAGCTAGCAATCCCTTCGTTTGGACCGCTCGCTCTATCTCCAGCTCGTGTGTCTAAAGCTTATGAGGCACCATCCGGACCTTAATCTCTCGTAGATTCGAATGAAAATAAAGAAAAAACCGCTTGACAGATCAAGAGATAAAACTAAAGTACGTTCGGATCGCTGTGACTATATGTTTGGATCAACTTTTTCCTTCTTTCTCTTGCCAGATATGCCCTCAGTTTTGTCGCAATCAAAAGGGCAGCTCCCAGTTGTTGACCACGCCCTGATTTCTTCACGAGCTCCATGCTTTGACCGCACTTATCTTTACTCTCCCCCTATCGTGCCTTAGCAGCAACTGTGTAGGGGCATAAAAATCAGCTTTCTGATTCAAATTTCTGTCGTCGGATACGCCAGCAAAATGCACCAAAGTCGTCGATGTTACGTTGGCTTTTGACTCCAGACACAGATCATTGAGTGAGTGATGCTGAGTACTGAGTACCTCAGACTTGACCCCTCTCTCTCTCTCGCACTAGCAGGCACGGTTGACTTGACCCGTCCCACAACCTTTTTGGTAGTGTAGTGGCGTCGCACGAATCACTTCGGAACCTCAAAGAGCAGTCGTATGACTGGAACAGTGGAGTTTTACCACTACGACGACGTTTACTTTGTCTTTCTTGTTCTGTTCCTCGCTGTCTTCTTCAAGCAGGGGGGGCCAACCACTGCGCCCTCCGGTCAAGATTGGACGGCGCTGCACTCGTGGAACGCAATGGTTTATATGCTGGCTCGAGTTGTGTGTGGACTTGCACTTGCCTCCATGCGATGAAATCAAAACCCTAATAAGTTATGCTTGAAAGTTTCTATTCTTTTATTCCAACAGAGACGATCGATCCACCTGAGACAAAGAGAAAAAGTCTATCCAATCAGGAGGTGTACTTGGAAGTAGCCATCCTTTGAAGAAAGCGTAATAGCTTATTGTTAGGATAAATGACACAAATAGTACATGAATTTTGGTACGATACGTAATGCGATTCCCGAACTTTAAATTTGTTCAGTGTAATCCCTTAAATTTTAGCCCAATGTGTAATATTGTCCTTGAACTTTTAATTTGATCACAGACTTTTAGTACATGTTCAATTTAGTTATTGGACTGTATAGAAATATTCAATATTGTCCTGGAACTTGAATTAATGAATTGACAACATCGAGCATTTTCATACAGTCTAATAATTAAATTGAACATGTATAAAAAATTCAATGACGATATTATATATTGGACTAAAGTTCATGGATCGCATTGAATAAATTTAAAGTTTAAAGATCACATCACATATTGATCTAAAATTTAAGAATTATTTGTATCGTTATCTCACGACGTTATTGGTGAAACCCTTGGAAAAAAATGATTAAATAAGTGGTGAGATTTTTCAGTGGAAGAAACCCTTGACTGGTGTTTCATTATGCTTCTTGTGTGGCCCGCTAGAGTAAAGTACTGTTGGTTTCCGTCGCTGACCCGCCTTGGGGTACAACTTTGATTCTTTCTATACAGATAGGGATCATATTTGAAATCAAATCGAGCAACTCTTTGAGAAGAACAGTGTGTTTGATATAAAAGAATTTGGAAACTCTTTTACTGCATTCTGCCACCCCGTCATCATCGGACGGAGGTGGGGCGAGGCAAGCGACAGACAAGTTCGGTGGCGACGCGACGGGCGAGAAATGGGCATATGTCACTTTGTAAAGTAAATGGCTTTTTCAGCAACGATTTATCATGGAAAGAGGGGCCAGATTGGAATCTCCTCCTAATCATGTACGCCTCCACGGTTGGTGAGTAGAAAGCACGTCACTAAGGTAGCGAATGATAACCATTCTGTTCCGGAATGAGTTCCTGAACCAGAAATAGATTTTTCTATTTCTGGTTCCTGGATGAGTTTCTGAGAAAAAAAACCCGTTTGATAATGACAAAAATTTGTATTTTTAGAACGTAAAACCCGTTTGATAACAAAGACAAAATTTCGTTTCCCGAAATAAAACCCGTTTGATAAACAAAGAAAAATTCTATTTCCAGGAATAAAAATCCATTTTTTTAGAAATGGAATAAAA